CATTCCTGTGGCTATGGACCCCACATGCCTGCTCAGGTGTCTGAGCAACCTGACTCCCAGAATCTGAGGTGGTTTGGGCTATGTGTATGTTGCAATAAGGATGTTCTGTTTCAAACTACTTGATAGTTGATTTCATGTTCTTTAGTTGGTGGTCTTAGTGATAGTAGAAAAATAAATGCTAGCTAGGCATGGTGGTTGTACATCCATAATCTCAGCACTAAGAAGGCTGAGGCAAGAGAATTTCCACAAGTTCAAAGCCAGCCTGAGAGTCTATCTCAAAAAAAAAAAAAAAAAAAAAAAAAAAGAGCTGGCTTACAAATAGAGACACTCTAGTCTTTTTTTCTTTTTCTCTTGACTGTAACAAAGTTTTATTAAAACTAGGAAAAGAAATGGGTTCTATATAGAGAGTAAAAGATGTATGTTCTACAGTGTGAAGATGGGCCACCATGGATAGAGAACAGTTACTAAAACTCAGTAGTGACTGCTCTTGTATCACCTACTCCTCAGGCTGATGTCAGATCTGGGACAACTATAGAAACCTCCAGTTCTCACAAGAAGTCTAGTGCAGGGCCTTGGGAAGTATTCCACATGTATGTGTTCAGAATTTTGTAATTAACAGATCACATGTACTTCACTAGCCAGCTTTGCCTTACTCTAACCTCCTGTCTCATTTCCCTCGGAGAGACACAAATCTCTCAGGGTACTGAGGTTATAGAGACTTCTGTCTTCTGTAGCTTCTTCTAACTGCAAGGTGCTGTGGGCCCTACCCACTGGGAATCATGTGCTTTCCAATGCTCTTTGGATATTGTGGCTTGTTGGCTGAGTCAAAGGGAAAAATCTGTCAAAAAATAATGAGAAAAGAATTAGTGACCATTGAGCTGCCTGTTTGATGGGAGCAAGAAATTTTACTATCAGTCCAAATATGATAAGCAGGTCATATTTCTACACTTCTTACAGAGAACAAAATACGGCAAAGAAGGATAAATTATCGAGAGCATGAGAGCAATAGCCTTAGGAAGATCCAATTAAAAATGGAGCCTCAATATAGGTCCCCATTTAAACTATGTGAATTAGAGTCACTAGTAACTGTGCTTACCTGTACCCTGAGCTATATGGAAGTCTTGCTTTTTGAAGAGAAGAGCCTTGAATCTTCCAGAGGTTCTACAGAATAGCTTGCTTCTTAGTCCTTTGAAAATTCTAGTGACCATTTCCCATGTAGAATTTTTATAGCTTGTCATTGCATTCCTTGAAGGACAACCAGAATCATTTCTCAGGCACTGGGAATAAGGATACAGTTTTAAAAAGCTTTAAAGCTGTCCTTCTTGCCTCTCTGTCAGCTTTTTTAATTTCCCAAGGAATTTTAGACATGTCTCTTTGGGATTCCTTACAATATGTAAGTGCAATCTGCTTGGGAAGATGGACTGGCTCTAAGAGTTGTAGAATCCTGCTTGTGTTTTAAAGATGATTGCTTGTTAGTCTGCAGAGTCCTTTCCAGATTGCTGCATGGGCATGTAATACCAGAAAGACATATTTGGAGTCTTTATAGATCAGTGATAAATAGCTTCACCACCATTGGTATAGTTCTATAGCCTAAAATCAATGCCTGAGTAAAAGCTATGAGCTCTCCCTTTTGAACAGAGTTCCCTGGGAGAAGTTGATCTCACTGGCCAATTGGGAACTGACAACTGCATAACCTGCCTTTTGATGACCTTGGGCAAAGCTACTTTCATCAGTGAACCACGCCTCCTCAGTGTCTTGAAGGGAGAGGGCACTGATGTCCTGCCTGGCTGCATAGGTTTGAGAGATTACTTGTTTAGAGTGGCAAATTTCTGGCCCTGTATCAAAGAGGCATGATTAGCAATAGTGCTAACCTCAGGGTTGTCTAAGACCCTGGCCTCATACTTGGCAAGCTGTCATCATGTTAACCACAAGTAATCTTTGGTCTCAAGAATCACTCTGACTTAGTGGGGAGTCAGGAATTCTAGTTTTTGTCCTAAAGTTAAGTTTTCATCTTCCTCCATTAGCACAGCTGTAGCTGCTACTGCCCTCAGTCAGATGGCCATCCAGCAGCTACTTTCTACCTTTTTGAAAAGTATGCCACTGGCAAACTCTGGTCTCTTCCTTTGTGTTCTTGTGCTCTGCTCTAAGAGTTACCTTTTTTGTTCCTCAGGTCAGAGTATCAGACTCAATTCCCTTTATGAAGACAGTATTGTAGTTTTGAACAGTATTTACTTAAGAAACTAGAATTGTCTGTATAGCTGGAATTTGGCTATTCATGGAAACTTACATAGAATGAGCATTTGTTTAACCAGATGTTAGTTTGCTCTATAGATCAAACTATAGTCTATGGGAGCATAGACTTACATCTTATTATACCTGTGTACAATGATATTAATTCCATGAAAGCTCACTATAGCTTGAGATTTTTCATAGATCAAGGCAGAAACCTTTACCTTTCATTCAGTAAATCTGTTTTAGAATTCTAGCATTTGGCATTAGCTTTTGAACCTACCTAAAATAAAACACAACTAAGCCCCAAATCCCTTATTTTCTAACTCTGCTCCAGAGTTTACTGTGTGGTTCCCATTACCTTGCAGTTGACATGTGAAGCTGGCATGGTGCTCATCTCTAGGAACCTGCTTTGCTGAGTTGACTTGGGATGGGTCAGCTCTGGCCCTTTGGTAACACCAGCATTGCTGGATTGGTGCTGCTGAGGCCATCTCTCCTCGAGTGAATATTAGCTCACCTCAGGCTCCCTGCTTTTATGTTGAGCTTTACTGTCTGTTCCAAAGGATTCTGTTCTAAGCCCTTGTAGTAATTCAAGTGTGAGTTTCAGCCATCACTGTGCCACAGCCAGGCCGAGGCTCTTCAGGACAGTTAGGATGATCCCAGTCACGTCCCAATACATAAACCAGCTACTCTTACTTAGGACCTCAGTGTTTCACATTCCTATCCCCCATCCTCCAAACACTCCTGAGCTCTGTCCTTATCTGTATCAGAAATTCTGATAGGATTTACTAGTTTTGATTCAAAACTATCAAAGCCACTCTATAAGTTAAAAAGATAACTTAGTTCTGTTTAGTGTATGTTGTCTCCTGTACTGGTCAGTCCCACCTCTTTTGATTCCAGCATGAAAGTCAATATAGTTGAGTGGCTGACTGTTAGAAACATGTTTTCTTCAAATAAATCATATGTGGAAATGTCATTATGTTGGAGATACTATCATCTGCCTTTGAGCTCCATATTTCATTTATGTTTCATTTTGACTTTTGTATTAAAAGCATTTCTGTAAATAAATAGGAACAATTTTCTGATCTAGGGTCTTCTGTTACCAGTTGGGACTATTTCCATATAAGGCAAATATTTCTATAATACATTTTGTATTTAACCTATCTTAATACCAACTAGATTAATTAATTTAAATTTAGTATTTGAAATATAGCATTAGAAGTAACCTCTGTGTTAATATGTTTGCTGGTATTTCTTTTTAATTAAATTTGTTGGTAAGTATAGCTATACATTCTGATCACTTTCATCACAGGGAATTTCATCATAGGGATACCTGTACATGATGTATCTTGATTCCTCTTTTTTTCTCTATTCCTTCCCCTCCCTTCAACTTCTCTTCCCCTCCTTATTTACAAAGCATCTTTTCCATTTTATCCTTATTTTCTCATTTTTTTCTTTTCCTTTCTTCCCTGCCCCAGTTCTCCTTTCTTTTGAACAATTTCTCCCTCTTTCACAATATCTATTGTATATTTGATTCTTATTTACACTTTTAGTTTCCTCACACCAGAGAGACAATGTGATTTTTACACGTGTGTCCTTTGGGGGAAAAGGAACACTTTTCCACAGCGTAGACTGTTATAGCTACCATGGAAATCAGTCTGGAGATTCCTCAAGAAACTAGAAGTAGAGGTCCCATTTGACCTATCTATTTCCCTTTTTGATATTTTCTGAAAAGAATTAAAAACATCATACCATGGCAATATATGCACATTCATATTTATAGCAGCACAATTTGTAATATCTAAACCTTGGAAATAACCCAAGGACCTGTCAACAGAGGAATGGTTAAAGAAGATACAGGTTTTTTTTTTAAATACAGTGGAGTACTACTCTGCACGAAGAAGGATAACCTTGAGATATTTCTAGTAAATGGATATACCTTGAGACCATACAAGTAAAATACATTGGACCCATTAATATTTTTATAGTTCTGAAAAACTATTGTGTGTGTGTGTTGGTGTGTGTGTGTTACTGGGCAAAGAAGCCTGGACATTTGCACTGAGCTACATCCTCAGCTCCACATTTTTTTTTTTTTTTTTTTTTTTTTTTTTTAATTGTAAGCCAGGGTCTTGCTAAGTCACTGAGGTGCCCTGGCTGGCTTAAACTTACAATCTTTTTGCTCAACTTCTCAAAGTACTGGGATTACAGGCATCACCACCACATCCGTCCTGAAAACAATTCTTTCATCTAGGTATTAACTCCTTCCTAAAATATTTATTTGCTTCAGTTGATTTTTAGAAATCAACTGACTATATTGATTGTCGGGAATCCTGAAAATATTTTTTTCTCCTGTTTTGAAACACTGTAACTGAGTGAGAACAAACCCCATCATAACTCAAAGCTGAATTACAGCCAAATTTAAATTATTTGTGCTTTGAGAAGAGAATTGGCAAGGACAAATGGTCCATGGCTGTGTGTTGTAAGATAATTGTAACCATGGTAGTGTTTGTTTTCTAATGTTATGTGTTGCTATTTTTTAGTGATGAGGTTGGTCATAGATAAAAACCCCATTTGTATGTTTCTAGTTAAATTTAAATCATTCCAACATCATTATTCCAACATTAGAGGTAGTCATTTCCTGTGGAATTGCTGGCTTGGTAATTTGCTTTATCTCGTGTGGAAGTGGTTTCTTGCCTCGATTACTTGTGTCTCTAAATAAAGTAAGTTTTCAGGAAAATGTATTCTAACAGTGATATCTCTTAAAAATCCAGATAAAGGAGTATGAGAAGCTTGATAGTGATAACGACCGCCTGTGTAGAAGTCGGCAGATTTATGACGCCTACATCATGAAGGAGCTTCTTTCTAATTCACACGTAAATATTACTTCTTGTTCAGTTGCTTTTGTATGACAACTGCAAGACTGCTTCAGTGGTTCCAGATTGAAGTCAGACAATAGGGAGATGTTTAAAAATTTTTGAATGCATATTCAGGGCAGAACCTATTTCTTTTTTCTTTATTCTGTCAGGTGCTTATTTTGGATACACAGTATCTCTTGCATCACAGTTACTTCATATATTTTTATACCCTGCTGCTTTTATTACAAAAAATTAATGAAATCATTAATTTAGAAAATCTCAATTCTAGACTTTTGGAAGGAAGTTAAGCTTTATTATTTTCTTTTTTATCTTTTTTTTTTTTTTATCGGTACCTGGGATCGAACCCACTACCGCCTGATTGCAAGGCAGGTGCTTATGCTACTAAGCTAAATCCCCAGCCCCACTGTATTATTTTCAATCTAGTTATGCTTTAACAATTAAGTTAATCAACTGACAAATATAAATCTTGAATTTTTTAAATAAGAATTATAATTACTATGTTAATTTTGTTCATCAAGTTAAATAATGGTTTTCCTTGAAAATCTGATAAACAGTCTAATTTGACCAACCATTAGTTAAACTCAGCTCTTAGGAAATTATTTTACCACCAGTAAGTAGAATAATTAATAATGAACATTTACGTGTAAAAGTCTATGTATTAATGTTGTATTTTCTAGAAATGGACTAACAGTCCTGGCCTACTCTGTCATGTACAGGGACCACTAGCCACCAGTGGCTATCAGAATTTGTTAGTTAAATCAGATGAAATTATACTTCCTTGATTCTCCTGAGCTACATGTAACTCAAGTGCTCCATAACCCCATGTACCATGGCTTCTTTATGGGATGGCACAGGAACACAGCATTTCTGTCATGGCAGAAAGGTCACAAAAGTGATGCACGGTAGTGCTTCTGCCTGTGATGGGTGATTACAGTGCTGCTACTTGAGTAACTGTGGCTAACGATGACACCTCTCGTAGCTCCATTGTTTCACTGTTCTTTGGACTCATGTTTCTTGCACACAAAAAAATTCTAAGCTGGAACTAACTGTTGATCCCAGTGCTTCCCTGTCATGCTGGAAAGGAGTGAGCTCTTAGAGAAGGCCAGTTGTTCACAGCAACTAAAGGGGTTTTGGCAGCGTGGTGTGGTATTAAAGCTGTTCTTATCTGGGCAAGGTGGTGCACACCTGTAACCTCAGTACTCAGAAAGTTAAAGCAGGAGTATCGCTACATGTTCGAGGCCAGCATGTGCTGCAACATGAGTTCAAGGCCAGCCTGAACTGCTGAGCAAAACCCTGTCTCAAAATAAAGCTGTTCTTACTGTGCATTGGTAAGGAGGGTGTAATTTGAAATTTTAGGGAGGATAAGTTTGTAATTCACATCTCTGGAAGTATCATTCTGCTTGCTTCAGCTCTGCTCTGCCAAAGCTGTAGTGAGATTTTCTTGAACCAGAATTTTTTAGCACTGTGGCTTGGCTCTGAAACCTGCCATTTAATTCTTAGGCACATGCTCATTCATTCATTTTCTCTGTTATGGGAGACATTTTTACATTTGTATAACTTTTACCAGCCAATGGAGGAAAGTGTGCATTAGGTGATGGTAGAGTTATTTAACCTTTATACTCACAGTAACCTCGGCCTCATGTGGGATTAGATGTCTCAAAGAGACCCTGTTGTGCTACTGTCACTCTGGGCACATTGACTGAGAACTCTGGACATCCAGATGGATAAATACGTGTGATTTCTCTACAAACAGATCTTAAAGAACACATACTAATATAATTACCATATATTACCATTTAGTAATTGTTGTATTAAATTGTCTGGTATGATATTGTATTATGTACAGAGATTTCTTACATTTCGTTCTTACTTAAAAAACATGCTTTTGATTTTTGAAAGCCATTCTCAAAGCAAGCTGTAGAGCACGTACAAAGTCACCTGTCCAAGAGGCAAGCGACATCAACTCTTTTTCAGGTAAGATAAGATTATCCCATTGGGATTTGGTGACATTCTTTCTTTGCGTGCAAATATACTAGAAAAATTACTTTGTAAGACCATTACATCACCTAAGCTGAAGCTTAGTATGACTTGCATTGAGTACCTTTCAGACTCAGGCTTTGCCTGAAAAGAACTACTGAAGCTTTCTAGCAACAAATGTTATGTGCTAGAAATCAAGTTATTGAAGAAGAAAGCTTTCCTTGTGTAACACTTTAATCTCTGTAATGTTCAGAGACTTTACAAGATTTATTTTGTAAGATAATGGGACTTGCAGTGATTTTCCAGAATCAAGAGTGAATGCTCAAATAACCTTGAGTCAACTGAGGAATTGTATTTGACCTTCACCATTTATATCCTGAGTATAATACAGTTGTACAGATTTAAATAATAAGACTCAGCTAAATGTACAACTAATAAGCCTACATATTTGCTATTGTTTAGATCAACAGAGGTTCTCCTCTTCGTCAAAGCCTTTTGCATCCTGTGTTTTCCATAGAGGAGCAATGATGTTTGCAAGGACATATTCTCCAATAAATAATATGCTTTTTATGTTTCTTAGACGCAAAGGAATGCCACTGAGGAATGTAATGATTTTCATAAGTGAAAATGATCAATTTGTTCTTTTTTGAATCATTCATCTGCAGTCAATTGATTTTTGATTTAATGTTATATGATAGTATTTATGCAAAATGAAGTTGATCGTTCTACAGAAAAAACACCATTTTACCTGTTAGAACATTTGGACAGTATTAAGTTGTGTATTACTCTTGTCAAAAGCACTAGATAGACTTGTCTGTAGAGGCCTGTGGGTTCTAAGCTTGATCTCTGAAGTGAGATGGCCCCAGTTATGTTTCTGCTGCAGTTTTCTGACTCCATGTTCTCACCTGTGAAGGGGAGGTGCCCTCAAGGCCTCCCCCTCGGAATTCTGAGATCTGGTGAGGAAAAGTGCACATGGGCTTCTTTGCCCTAGGCCTACCTACCCAAATGCTCCCCACTGTTAGCTGTTAGTGGGTATCTTTCCGTCAAAAAGTACAATGTGAATATTTGCTTTTTTTATCTCTGTATTTCTACCTCAGAATTTCATTTGTCAACTGACTTTGCTATGACATGCCGATAGCCCTGTAGTCATTGACATCTAACATTGTTAAATTGTACCTTATAGTTTATGCTGTGTTAGTCAGTTCTCCATTGTCCTATGTAAATAAAAATGGGTATATTTAGCCAGTTTGGAGACAAAGTCTAAGATCAATTGGCCTGGTCAAGTCAGCCTCTGAAGAGGGTCCCCTTGAGCTTGTTCGTGGGGGTATGGCATCATGATAGGAGCATGGAAGGAGAGATGACCTGGAGAAACAGAAAGCCACAGAGATAAGGGAAGGACTGGGCTTATTCTTTTGATTATCCTGTTTCTAGAGATACATTAATCTATAAAGTAGGTTGAAGTTTATAGTAATAAAAATGTTCCCCAAGTAAATATTTTTTATTAAATTCATTTTGTCATCAAGCTTAACTTTAGAATTAAGTGTTTGCATAGGTACACTTGGTAGTAGAGGCCAGAAAGGTCCTGGTTCTTGTTTGGATGCCAAGAAGTTCTTAAGGTACCCTTCTAAATGAGATCTAGCTTATTTGCCTCCACCTCCCCTTTTTGTGGTTCTGGGCATTAAACCCAGAACCACATCCGCAACCCTTTATTAAAAAATTTTTAATAAGACAGGGCCTCACTAAGTTGCCAGGTGCCCAGACTGAGCTTGACTTCATGGTCCTCCTTCCTCAGCCTCCTAGAGTGCTTGGATTTACAGGCATGTACCACCATGCTTGGCTTCTCCTTTTACAGATTAAGAGAACAGAGGACCTGAGAAAGGAGCAAGTGCTCATAATCCTACTGCCACCTCTGGTTCTTGCACTGCTCCCTGAGTATGTTGGTGGCTCTTTCTGCTGAAGCAATGCAGCGAGCTGGTTAGGAATTCCCAGAGACTGTTATTTTTACTCTTTAGCAGACAGTATGGGATATTTGACTGAATATGAAAGAAAAATACTAATTGATGTAATTGCTTTTATAAATTAGTCTGTAATACATAAATTTAGCATTTTTATAGACCTTTAAACAACTGATCTGCTTAGTATCTTCAAGTCTACAGAACCTTTTGTGACTTGCAGAGGACTTGGCTAGGATAGATGTGGCGTGGTGCCATGGAATCCTGGTGACTCAGAGCTGGAGAGGACTTCAGAGAGTTCAGTTTCCCTTTATACCAAGGAGGGAGCCAATTTCATGTGGCTTCAGGGGCCAGTCTCAGAGCCTTCTCCACACAGCAGTAGCCCTGTGAGGGGAAGGAGAAGAGGTTGGTATGTTCCCAGGGAGCCTCCTTTGCCAGTGTAGTTTCTTGTCTGCATCAAGAAATGAAATTCCCAGAAGTCTGGTCTTCTTGGTTTCTGAGGTCTTTTACTCTTACTCTGGTACATGCCATGATTGGTTGTTCTTTTTGTAAACATTCAGGATGATCCATAAAGTCACCAAAAAATTTTATGTTTTGCATTGTTCAGCAAACTTGGGTTGTCAAGATGTTTTCCAAAAAGATCTCACTGACTCTCAATTCAACTGTAAAAGAGTGCCTTACTTGATAATTTCATTGTTCCTGTTTGAAAGCTGCTCCCCTGAAACAGTTGGTGCTGCTTATTTGGTAATGGGTAAAATGGCACAGAACTGCAGTAGATTGCAGTTACTCTGAGGGTGAAAGCACTGTGCACATGAACCAGGAGCCTCTGGCTTCATCTCCATTAGCCATGAGCTTGCTCAGAGATCTCAAGGATGCTCCTGCCTGCAGTCCCAGAGCCTCCTCAGCAAGAGGCAGAGTGAGATTAACTCTCCTTCCTGGTTACCTTTAGTTCTATGATTGTAGGATGTAGAAAGTCAGTGAGTAAGACAGCCAGTTAAAATAACTATGGATTTATTTGCTTTGAGTTTTTAAAACTCAGTATGAATATAGATTACAAATGCTTTTAGTAGTTTATAACTCAGAGGACACACTACAAAATGAAAATACAGGGCACCCCTTTTCAAAAATTATCACGAATTTTTAAATAGTGATAGAGGAGCATTAAACACAATGCCAGGATCTTCAGAGTTACACACCCATGAAGCTGGCCCTGGTCATTTAAGAAATGTCTGTGACTTGCCTGGAGCCATGGTAGGCAACAGGGATGCAGTGATCTATGGTACAGACCATGCCCCTATCTTCATGGGACCTAGTAGTGGAGATAGCTATGAAATAAATATTCCCTGATGATGATTCTCCTAGTGAAAACTGGATAGGCAGTGCCAAGGACAAGGACATGGTGCCCTGGGGGTGCATCTCTGAACCTCACCTGGGCTGAGTCACTTAAGTTTGTATACTTCACTTTAATTTAGTTATGTTTATACAGTGTGGGATTTCTTTTCCATCCTTTCCAGCCATACATAGAAGAAATTTGTGAAAGTCTTCGAGGCAACATTTTCCAAAAATTTATGGAAAGGTATGTGATTTTATATACATATATGTATATATACATAATGCAATTTTATATACACATATGTATATATACATAATGGCCGTGACCTGTGTCTCAGCCTTTGTGTTAGACTATTTCCTCTATACTTTATAACTTGGGGTTTTTATAGCTCTGCATCCCTTTTGTCTTCAGTTCTTTAGCTTCAGTTGATCTAAAATTTAAATAGACAAGGGAACCTATGTTTTAAAAGTATTTTACTGGGAGGCCTGTGCTAATGCCAGGATGGCTGTAATTTATCAGATTCATTTCTTTGGATTAGGGAGGCATAGCTCTCAAAGGTAGACAAGCCTGAACACCTTCCTTCATGTACCGATGAAATTTAAGGGCATGAAAGTGTGTTAATGATTGTTTGCCCCATTAAAATACATAACAATTCTGTTTCTGTGGGTTACTCAATGCACAGAAGTGTTTGTCATATAACATTCTGTGATTTGCTGGTGGTATCTGAGGAAACGTTTGTCTCGTGTACTGTGTGGACACCCACCCATCAGTTCTTGTGTGGGGCATCCCTCTGACAGTACACTGTTGGAATTAGACTTCCTACAGATACTCTCCCTTCACTCTGACTATCCGTCTCTCCCTAAATGGGCCCATTTCTAAACAGATGACGCAATGAGTGTGTCTCATTGCTAGTGATGCGTGCAGCTGCTCAGTAATTATAGTTAAAGAATAGACACTGCTTTTCTGTAGTTTTTGTCTCCATGTATTCACAGGGCTAAAACAATTAAAAACTGTGTTGTGATTCTACTAGAGTTCAAGAGATAATTTTATCTTGGAGTGGAGTCAATACTTTGGAAAAGGAATATGCCTGCAAGTGATTATATTCTTCTGAGTCACAATGGAAATGGCCAGAAGGCAGCACAGGAAGGCCGAGGAAAGGGCTGCTGGGTCTGGACTAGCTTCCAGTGCTCTCAGATCTGTGATTGCCCACTTCTTGGGTCACCCTTGTGTTCATGTGATCCTTGGGAGATGGGAGAGATGTGCTAATCCAAAGCCAGGAGGCAGGTCTTCCCCTGATGGGTCGTAACGCCAAAGTACATCCTTCTGCCAACCCCAGGCTAGCTAATGTGTAGCCTTTTCCCTCCCCAAGTTAGCTGTCCCCGGTTCCAGAGTATGCAGGGGAAGGTGCTTGCATTTCAGGAAGCATGCAGTACCCTCCAAGGGTACTGTAAAGAGGGTCAAGGCACCCACGATTCCTTACCACAGCTCTGAGCACCAGGGTCTGTGAAAAAGTCGTATACGTGAGTCGTGAGTCCCGGGAAGTTCAGGGATACACTACAGATTTATAAAAATGGGAGACACCCAATGGCTGCTCCTGCAAGTACATGCCAGGAGAACTTGGAATTTCTCAGAAGATAATGTTAATTCACCACCTCATGGAGATGTTAGGAAAATCAATGAAATGCTCTTTAAAAATCACAAAGAGTTCTTATTTTGAGTTTTAATCTTATTAGCATTAGAAGTATTTGTAAAGGCTCCATATTTTTTAAAGTCCTATTAATTGAAATTTATAGGGAATTTTGGTAGTTGGGTGTTCTAGGCTTTCTCTGTGACACACTTTGTAGATATTCCTTCTGTCCTTTCTCACTTTGTTTTCCCCTTTTTTCCCTTTTTTTCACTCTTAAGTACAGTAAATTCTGTGTCTTTGTAAGAAGTCATGCGAGAGGCTACGTGAGATCCAGTTTTCACAAAGAAGTCTCTGCTTTTAAGGAGAATTCATTTAGGACTCTTTTTTTTTTCCTTTCATCTTTTCTTTCTCTTTATGTCTTGTACCTTTCCCTACCTTTCTGCCTTGCTCTCTCTCTCTCTCTCTCTCTCTCTCCCTCCCTCTCTCTTTCTCTTTCTCTCTTTATATATGATGTTGAGGATCAGATTTGGGCCCTTGTACATCCTAGGCAAGTGCCTTAGCACTGAACTATATCCTCAACCCCATAGTGTGCATTTATTTTGAACATTTATTTAATAATTAACTTACAGATATTTTGCTCATTAATTAAAAAGCAATCAAAACATCGTATTAACTAGATATTGGTAGTTATTTTTATCAATCTATGGTTGAAGAAAATACTTGCTGAGCAGTTTAGAAGCATGTCAGGGTGACACTGAATCTTGGGGTACTAATCTGAGGGCTTCCATTCCACATTGTATCTGCGAAACAATGCTAAATTTCGATTAAGGAGCCTAGGAGAAAAAAAGAAAAGAAGCCTGGAGCCTGTTCATCTGGGTTCACATGGGCTCCACCCTCTCTCTTACCATGTGACCTTGGCCAAGCCACTTGGTATTTGGCTGCCTGAATCTTATGCACTGTATGATGGGATCCCAGTAGTACCTGTCCTTAGAGCTGTAAGAAGGAGCAGATGTGCATGATCTGGCACATGGTAAGCACAGTATTTTAGTGCTTACTACTCTTATTAAAGTTATCTATAAACATTAATTTTTTGATTATTTAGATCTACACTGCCCAGTACAGTAGCCACTAGCCACGTAAGATACTGTGTGCTTGCTGGGCATGGTGGCACATGCCTGTAATCCTAGCACTCTGGAGGCTGAGGCAGGAGGATTGCTGCAAGTTCAAGAGCAGCTTGGGCTACACAATGAGTTCAAGGCCAGCGTGAACTATGCAGCAAGACCCTGTCTCAAAAACAAACAAACAAGACTCTGAGCAAGTAAAATGCAACTAGTCAAAATTCAAACGTACTATATGCAAAAGATACACTAGATTTCAAAGATCTTTGTATAAATTCATATGGGGTATGTGGATAAATTCATATTGATTATGTGTTGAAATGATCATTTTTTCATCCATTGGGTCAATGAAGTACAGTATGCTATATATGTGACTTGTGTTACCTCCCTGTTGCATAGTACTAAATCAGATAGAAATGTCAGCATAATTTATGACAGTTAAGGGAGATCTGAATCTTTCATTTGATTTGTAAAGTAAAGCAGTGATGAATGTTTTGTGAAAAAATGCTTGAGATAACTTGCCCTATTTGAGAACCAATACAAGTAATGCAATTCTAGTTTATTGTTCTACATGTACAGTTAATTTAATATTTCACTTCTCAGTAATTATTTGTGTTCTCTTTTAGTGACAAGTTCACTAGATTTTGTCAGTGGAAAAATGTAGAATTAAATATTCATGTGAGTATCATCTTTTTATTTTTTTTTCTTAAATTAAAAATTCTTTGGCTGGGGTCTGGGGATTTAGCTCAGTGGCATAAGAGCCCGCCTTGCAAGCAGGCAGTCGTGAGTTTGATCCCCGGTACTGATTAAAAAAAAAAAAAAAAATTCTTTGGCTGAACCTCATGAGAAAATATTCTAGAGCCTACTCCCCAAGGGTACACCGCCTAAGCGGATGTCCTCCGTGTAGTTCTGTGGCTTCAAACCCCTCCTCCCTGGCATTGTTGGAGTTTGAACTGTCTTCACACTGATAGATGAATGTGTGTATTTATGTATGAAAGGCTATTTTGAGCAGTAATTGATTGACCCTTTAACAAAAATAGTAGTCAAAATACAAACCTTAATACAACTTCTTGTCTTTTTCCATTCTTACCAAGTCCCTTTTCTTTTTCACGTTATCAAGTGTGATAACAAAAATTGAATGTAATAATAAAAGAATAGTGTCGCTTAGTAGTACAAGGTTTTTTTACTATTATTTGAAGAATGACAAAAAGCAGTCTTGAAACACAGGCGGCTTCCTAGCATGTTCCTCGGTTTCCTCAGCATCAGTACCTCTGGGCTGTCATCTTTCCTTCTCTGCAGCTGCACGTTTCCTCCTGCAGCCCTTCTGACCCCTTCACCAGCTCCCTCTCATAGGCTTGCCGCTGGGCCAAAAAATCAAAATTCAATGAATTGATCAGTTCATTGAATTTCCTGTCTCTCTCTTCCTTCTCTTCCTCCCTTCCTTCTTTGATTTTACTCAAAACAGTACTGTTGGAAGAAGAATTTTCTTTAACCTCCTTTTCCACCCTATGTCCTGGCAAGACTTAGGAAGAGGCTATGACACACATTTTAAAAATCCCTAACGTCTCTCATGGATCTTCTTTGTCTCTGCTCTGTGGGCAGACCTCGGGTGCTTGCAGACTGAACATCACCTGTGCAGTCTGGGGATCAGCGCTGGCTGATGTAGTATAGGATAGAAAAAATAAGGTACGTGAAAAGGAGACAAGGAAATCATAACTTTAAAAATTGTACTTATAAAAGGACTTTAGCATTCAGTAGTCAGCCAGGGTTACCCACGGCTATCCCATGTTAGCATTCCTTTGGTGAAGTTTAGACTTTTTTCCTACCAGACCCATTATACCCCCAAAGAATACCAAAAGTCTATAAATTGACTTAATTAAAAAATAAGGAACAGGAGCTTGATCCAAGATAAAGGAGCAGGTTGAGCAAACCCAGAAAAATATTTAAATTAACTATTTGTTAAAATTCACCCATATCTGTAAAATGGGCTAATGTCCCTTCGAGGGGTAGGCCACTTTTTCCCAGGCTTTTCTACTGTACATACATACATACATATCCCAAACTGAAATGTGTATCATTTCTCTGAACCCTGTAACTATACTCTTAAGTGCATCCTAAAATCTTTGCTAATAAATCCTTGTCATGTCTCTTACTGCTGTGTCCTAAAAATTTTTCCACAGTGAGAGTCACCAAACCTCCTACAGAAGAGTGGGTTAAGTTCCTTATTTTAGCATCAAAAATTTCTCAGATCCAGTACCAAGGTGATACTCTATGATGCTTCAAGTGTTGTGTGGGGAACCCTGAATCTTCACCCTGCATTTGCCAGGATACATCAGCAGTAGACATTTGCGATTGTCTGATGGCCCCTTGCCATGAATATAAGATTCGCTATCTGCCTTTGTGGCTTCTAATGCTATTAAAACTACCCAAGCACTGGAGCATTATTGAATGAGCAATTGCTGAAAAAAGGAAAGTGCCAATGAATAAAGCCTCTTTATGTTCCTTGCTCACATTTGGTCTTGTTTCATGCTCACATGTCCAGCACGAGTCCTCTTTCTTTGCTGATGTTATCAGTAAGAAATTCACATGGCCAGCATCTGTTGGGTTTTCTGATCAGCCAGTCACTGTCCTGAAGATAAAAATGCCCTTGACCTGGACTTTCATCTTCTATCCTGAGAGTTCCTAGAATTGTTGAATTGTTCCAAACTTTAGGGTTCACATGGCTGAAGTTGCTTCTCATTTCAACTAGAAATCCCACATATGCTAATCTCAGGGTATCGCAGTCTAAGATTTATAAGAGTAGAAAAAAGCCAACCAGCTGACTTGGCTCTCACTTTGTCCTCATCCCATTTGCCTCTACTTTGTGCCTCATGTCTTTGCACTGTGCAGTGGAGGTTACAGACAGTCTAACCCCCCTGTGCATTGCATCATGCAGTTTAAGCAGTTAGCTGTGCAAGAGGTCAATGCCCATATCCAAATTGCTCATGTATTTTGCATGAAAACAAATCTTTGTACTGATACGACTTTATGTGACTTCATGTTGTCATTTTGCACTTTGATTTCGCAGTTAACCATGAATGATTTCAGTGTACACAGGATTATTGGACGAGGAGGATTTGGTGAAGTATATGGTTGCAGGAAAGCAGACACTGGAAAAATGTAAGCCTTCCATCTTTATACATTTTACCAGAACTGTTAACATGATTTTATGTTTGCACCCATAGAAAATCCCTATACAGAAACATGGAAGTCCGTGATCTTTCTCTGGAAACAATTTGTCACAGAAAGAAATAGTCTATGCTGTTGAGCACAGTGAATGAGAATAGTAGGCCTGAACCATATCAGGGCTCATGGGAGTTAACAGTGACTATGTATGGAAGGCCCACGTTTCTTGGGCTGTGATCAGGAAGCAGGGCCCCAGAGATGAACAAGGACCAATTCCTAACAGCTGTGAGCCTGTGTGAGAGTTCCAGTCAGATCACACTGAAGAATTCTTTGCTTTGCACAAAAGAGATGACATTCTTTTCTAAACAAAGACCAACCTCTGTGCTTAAGTGTAGGCATTTGGGGATTACCTGCATTTCAGATGACAACGCCATGAATTAGTAATTTGGGTGCTGGAGGTGAGAGCCCCATGTCTGACAGTGGCAGTGATCATGGGGCTGCATCCCTCGCAAAGCCATTACCTGCATGAGACCAAGGTGAGGGCATTGAGTGCATGTGGACTTTGAGGGCATTAAGTGCCTTAGGATCTTCTGGGCAGGGTTCCTAAGCGTGGAGAAAATTGTTCTTTTTTAATTAGAAGTGAGCATATTCCTGAAGGGTAAAGAGAACAGAAACATGATTTGATAGACCCAGAACTACAATTGTGTTTAAGTGACAGGCATTTTGGAAGAATGGGCAAGGTGGAGTGGTAACTGAAGCACGGCTTGTAAGATGATTGAATCATCAAGGATGCTGTGGTGTCCCTCGCACCGGGTCTGCCTTACTGATCCATTCCCAGTACAGCCTGAAGGTTTTCCCCAGCTCTGCTCAGCATGCCTGGCCTTTGTTTTCAGGCAAGTTCTGTAGCAACCATTATTTGGAGTCTGAAATTGTCCTTCACTAATTTGTGTCACTGTTTTGGAGCTCTTTGCAAGGTGAGCAGAGGCCTGGCACTGAGTTGAAGCCTAGTGTCTGGGACAGCTCGGTGTCCTATGCAGGGCAAGGGTCCTGGAGTCACAGCAGCAAAGGCAGGTTGACTTTCCATTCCAGGTGTAGTTTGTGACCTGTGCCTCCACATCCTGGTCTGTAAGGAGGCAAATGAGAGTACTTTGTTGGAAGCATTAAATGAGATGACCAAACTTTGGAGCGTTCCTCTCTCCTAGTAATGCTAGAGCACAAAGCAGGTTTAGATACAGGGTCTTCTTCAACCCTGCCCTCTGCCTGAGAAGTTTTTCCCCATTCTCTCCTGGCTTAGTAGACTTTTGGTCCTAATTACTACAGTTTTCTTTTGCTTTTTTTTTTATCGGTACTAAGGATCAAACTCACCGCGTGCTTGCAAGGCAGGCGCTTAGGCTGCTATATCTTCATTAAGGATTTAGTTTTGCTTCATCATTGCAGCTTATGGAAGTACTTAAAACATCTAGTCTGGAAAAAGAAGATCTAGTCTGTCATATGATATCATCAAAGTAAATACCAGTTGATCTGTTTGTATGAAATTATTATTTTACTTCACCCTCAAAAACTACCAACATGTGGTCCACATTCTTTCTCTTGACCAGGCATGATGATACATGCCTTCTACTCCGGAAGCTAAAGCAGAAGAATTTAAAGCAGAGATTTGACACCAATCTGGGCAACACAGCAAAATACCGTCTAACCAGCAACAGTAAATTCTCTGTGTTGTATAGATGAGGTGTAAAGGGTTATCAGGAGTCACTCAGTAGGAAGTGGTCAGGCGTTATGTAATAGTTTTTCCGTCACTGGGCCAGACTATCTGACACCCAGTATTTAAGGAGGAGGGGTATAATTTGGCTCATGATTTCAAAGCTTTCAGTTCATAATCTCTGGCTGCAAGGCAGAAATAATGTGGAGGAAGACTGCAGTAAAGCAAAATGACTTATATCCCAGCATCTGGGAAGCAGAACACAGAGGAAAGGGTACCAGCAAGAAATACACCCTTGCAAGGGCCCAGTGACTATCTCCTTCAACTGGACCCCACTTTCCTGCAGCACATTCAACTATGAACATCAGTACATTAAGTATAGCACCCCTTGATTCAGTCATTTCTAGGAATCTCTTAATCCAGTCAGGATATCAAGTTTAACTGGCATGCCTTCACTCCTAGAAATCCTTATTTCATTTTTTAAACTTTTTTATCGATACACATTTGTCATACATGTTAATCGCATTCATCATAGGGAAGTTGTGGTGGTGGTGATGGTGGTGGTGACAGGGTCTCACTGTGTGGTTGGGGCTGGCCTCGAACTAGCGGCGATCTTCCTGCTTCAGATCCCAAGTGCTGGATTACAGGATGGCACATGTACACTGCCACACCCAGCAGAAAGTTGTACCTTAGAAACATATCTTAATTCTTTTCTTCCCTTCATTCTCCTCCCCTCCCTTTAACCCTTCTTCCTCTGCCATTTACCAAAGCCTTGTTTCCATATTTTTTCCTTCAATTCTCTTTTTTTTCCCCTTTTTCTCCAGACCATAACCTTAAATCAGACTCCCAAGTTTAAATGTGGCATTGTTTCTTTTGTGTGAGGAACCCGGAGGGTAAATAAAGAGCATAATGCAGGATAGAAACTGGAAAATTGGAAGAATGTGTTCAAATGGAAAAGTGAATACGAGAGAAGGGAGGGGGAAGGAGGAAAGGAGATAAAAAGCTCCCTGGAATCCTACTTCATTTTTACAGGCTGCAGGCTGCCAGGTAGGCCTTGCATGCGCTGGCTACACACCCACACCCCCAACCCAGGGAGCCACCACACACAGCCCCAGAGCTACGCAGTGGCTCTCAAAGGCTTCCTGGAGTGCATTTGCTCAGCTAGGGCCCAGGGCCTGCATGTCCTGTCTTCTGTGGTATGAAAACCGTCCTGGTAAAAGGTGGTACTAGAAGCAGAGTGAAACTTTTTAAAAGTTTCTCATCATAAAAATGAACTATTTAAAGAACATATCAATTCGTATATTCTCAGTATTTTATCTCATAATTAAGTATATGAATGTCTTGCGAATTGATTTACCTAAGAGCTCCTAGAAAAATGGATAAAATTGCCAAATTTGAACGTTTGTTTCTGTTTTTATGTAACATGGTAAGTTTTGATTAATAAAAAGTAAGTGGATTTTCTGTATTCCACCCCACTAAGATTCCTTCAGCCTGGGCTTGTAAAGTGGATCATCAACTTGGAATTTCTAGTTGTACACTGAGTTAGCAGTCCTGAAAAATTTATGGTCATTGCATACATTTCCTATTGGCTTTCTGTGTCCAATTGAAAAGCTTCCTGTCTTCTTTTACCTCTGATTATAGAATGTGTCAAAGAACTTTGTGTTTTCTTAATATGAGTTTGTTCCAAGTTCTTGAAAATCTTAAACTGTCAACTGGTCTTCTCAATTAACTTTAACCAATGACAGATATGAAAATCTTTTTCTTATTATTTAAAATATAATAAATTAAACATCAATTTAGCATCTTACACTTCGTATACTCTTATCAAAATTTGACTGCTACTCAATTCACAATTCCAGCCTCCTAAATATGATATATAGGCCTCCATTCCCAGTAGTATTAGGCAGGAGCAATAAACAAAATATTCATTTCAATAAGTTTACTTACAAGTATATTCATCTACATGTAATGATAGAAATATCTTAAGTACTACTCCTTTCCCATAGTACATAAGTGTCTGTATTTCTTATTTGGTGATTGGGTGGCATGTTATGTTTCAATTGTTTGTTTTTTGTTTGTTTTTTAGCATGATACTTGGGATTGTACTCAGCGCCTCACACTGAGCTACATCTCCAGCCAGTCTATTTTTAATTTTTAGTTTAATTTTTAATTTTAATTTAGGGTCTTTTTAAGTTGCTAGGCTGTGCTCAAACTCTGGATCCTTCTTCCTTAGCCTCCCAGAGTGCTGAGATTATAGGTATGCATACCATATTTGGCTCCATTTCACTTCTTTTAAACATTGCCTAAATCTCTAGGAACTCTCAGCAGTGTGACATGTTTCATTTATATCTTTCTAGATGTTTTAACAGTATAGATTTTTCCATAATCTTTATGCTTGCAGGTATGCAATGAAATGCTTGGATAAGAAAAGGATCAAGATGAAGCAAGGAGAAACATTAGCCTTAAATGAAAGGATTATGTTGTCTCTTGTCAGCACAGGAGTAAGTATCCAGTTTCCAGCTTTGCTTTTAAAAGTTATTTGTCTACTTTATAGAAGGATGTTTTGTTTATTTCTGCTGATTATGGAGCAGGGCAGTTCATAGATAGGGTGAGATTTGGTCCCTCCTTGTACAAGTTAGCAGAGCCCAGCCTCCTTCACTGTACACCGTGCCTTTTTCTTCAGTGCCTGTTGACTTGGCCCTGACTTCCTTCTCCACACAGTATACTCCACAGTACCTCTGTATAGTAGCTGAGATGGCAAAAAATAATCATAAAAGAAAAAAATCACTTTAATATAGTGGGGAGGTACATGACAGGGCGGGGACTTATCCTCAGGAAATGGAAGAAAGTAGCTCTTGTCTTCCACAAGCAAATGGAAAGGGAATGGCTTGGGATGGTCAAGTCTGAATAGAGTTGGCTCTCATCAATGTTCCCTTTGGACATGGCTTCCTCTCACCCTGTGTACTTGCTGCTTGGTCTCGCAGTCGATTTTGGTTTTTCCGTTCCCTGCACTGCATTTCTACCTCGTAGGCATTTTGTGTGTGTGTTGAGGTGTCATTTTTAGTGCAGAACTGGTAGAAACAAACTCTTACCCTGGGTCATCTTTACTTACAAAGCAGCTACCCATTCTGACTTCTCAACTTATGTGTATCATTGTCAGTGGACTCTGACGTGGGAGCTGAATGAATGGCATATTGAATACCCACACCAGCTGAGTTTATACCCAAAGAGATGGGAGTGGGTCTAAATTTTACTGCTAGATTCCTTGTGAGGTCACCTTCACCACAGGTAGAAAGCATAAAATTTTATTGGCTAATCCCAAGAATGCCTTTCAACTAGTAAGCAACTAGTAAGCATTTTAGAGTGATCTGTTTGCTTGCCCCCAGTCCCTAGATGCCCTGGCAGGACTCCCTTCACTGCATTGCTTTGTGAGCCAAGTGCTTTGGGTTTATCACGTGTACTTATTGTGTCATAGTTTGCATTATTCTAGCTTTCATTTTAATGCCTTAGAAGAGCTATTTTCTATCAGAACATGATAATCAAGCAGAACTGTAACAAATGGAAATGCCATGACTATAAATAATTTCTAACTATGTGTTTCTGCCTTCCAATATGTAGCTGTTAAGCCTTTCAAATAGGAGTCATTCTGTGTGTAACCAAGTGTATGCCTGACAGAAATGGGGATAGTGTGGATGCCTTTAGCTCCCAGCCTCTACTGCAATTGTCTGTGTCTTAAATTTCACCCATGCACATCCTCCCTGAAGACTTTTAAGTAATTACTACTGTGTTAATTTTTAATGAGTTATCCCAAGCCTTGGATAAGAAAGCCTATGTGAAAAATGTTTTGATGTGAAAAAAGTTTTTGTGTAACATTTTATTTATTTTATTCACATAAAGGAGAATATGGTTAAGCAGTTGTGGTCTAATTCTTCTCTGGTCTGATCTTAGAGAAGAACATTTTAAAATGAGGTTATGTTGAGCCACTAACTTTGAACTAATTTAAAAGAATTATTTCTGTTTTTCTTCAAACACTGAACCATGCATTATTTTAAAAATGTATACATAGGGAAGTAAATCTAAAGGGTTATAGTGAAGTTACTGGGGACTGTTTATTTGCTAATCAGAGGCCACTTTTGGTAGATTTTTAATGTTGTTTTGTTTAAATTGAGTTCATTAGGTAAAGCCCTGAGACAGCCTAGTCTGCGGAGTCTGGAGTGATGAGATGCTCCACATTCACCCCGATGATTTCTTTTTTTTTTTTTTTTTTTTGTACTTTTGTATTTTTACCGGTACCAGGGATCGAACTCACGACCACACACTTGTAAGGCAGGCGCTTACACCGCTGAGCTAAATCCCCAGCCCCCACCCCAATGATTTCTTTTGCGTTTGCTTTTAGTCATTGTCCCTGCAGGCTCCAGTGTTCCTGCCCCACTGTGGGCTAATAGGAATTACTGTATTGCTTTCTTCTGCCATGCTTGGGTAGTAGGAAGGGAAATGCGTGTGTCTGAGAACCAGGAAAGTATTTCCACAGCTGGGAAGAGCACTCAGCAGGTGCACAGACAAGGTCGTGTGGCTTCGTGGGCGGTACTGCCCAGTCCTTTCCAGAACCACAGTGAGCCCTGGAGGACATGGGTATTTCTGTGTGCTGGGATCCCAACCCCTCATCCAGCTGCCCAGAAGGGGACAAGGTGATAGCTTGCGAATACACAGATAAAGCCTATGAATGATTACTGGGGCTTGAGAGGCAGCTACCAAGGGAGAGGTGTATCTCCTGCAAGGCAAGGCTCTTGCTCACTCCTGGTAGGAAGTCCAGGTGGACCTTTACACCTCAGGGCCTGCACTACAAACTCAAGGGCATGTGCTCACCCAGCCCAGCACCAGGAAGGTCGCCCTGACCATGTCAGCTTTAGCTTTCATACCCTCAGGCTGCATTTTGATACTGGCTGCTGTTGTGTTCTGTTGTCCAGCACCTGTCCAGCCCCTGGAAAGGGGGATAGCGGGCTGTGGGTTTGGGGGGGGGGGCTGGTCTCTCTTCCTTGTTGCACTTTTACTTTGCACCATTTGTTGAGAAATACAATGGGACTCGCACTACAATAAAGGAAACAGGGTTTATTCTGTAGCTAGAGACAGTAGGGGAAGCAGCAGAACCCCATTTCCTCAATATGAGGACTGGGGTGCCTCCTCTGGAGAGTAGGGAGCAAGTGCACCATGGGATTCATGCAGAGCCAGAAAAGGAGAAAGGCGGCTTGTCCTCATAGGCTCACCCAGGTTGCCCTGGTGTTTGTTGAAATTGGGCTCCTTCCTTCCCACAGACGCTGCAGGACAAAGGCTCTGTCTCAATGTGTGGGCTGACTTACATAGTAGGTGCTTTGGCAGCCGTGAGCTTTCTTAAGTGGGTGTGTCACTGAGGGCCAGGAACATCCTCAGAGTGCAGCCTAGAGCTTTGAAAAACAGTGCCCATGCTTGTTCAAGTGGTGAGAGGTCAAGATTGAAGCCTGATCAGAAAGAGATCTCTGTAGAGCCTGGCTAGCTCTGGGCCAAGCAGAGACCTTGGCCAATGGGGAAACTCGCCTCGTAAGGAGAACTCTGGAGAGAGTGAGGAGGCATGGCATTTGTATCTTACTGGCCACCAGCTTTTCATGATCTCAAGCAATTTCTTTCTTTTTGGAGGAACCCTAATTTCCTTACCTGTAAAATAAAGAAGTTGCGACTTTTTTCTTTAAAACACTCTTCCTATTCAGATAGCCTGAGATTTCTAAGTCTAAAATTTATGTCCCATCACAGCGACATGGTGTTTTAAGCAGACTTTGATCTTTTGCTATTGCAACATATACCATCATGTTCAGAAATTTCCCCAGAAGGGTCTCCCTGTCCTCTGGTAATGTGGATGTAGTTGCCAGCTCAACCCAAGAACAATCTTGGCTTTACTGAGTTCTGGACCCACTATTTCTGTGCTCTGCAGATAAATTGCTTACAGATCAGGAGCAAGAGCCTTTGGGAAGCTGCATTAAGGAAAAGCCGTGACATCTGGAGGAGACAGCATCTTCACAGGTCACCAAGAGAGGCCTGGGTGGCACAGATGGGCATCAGGCAAGACAGGCAACCAGAAAAGCCCTGCAATCTTAGCAGAAAGATAGCACTACATTTTCTCTTCTTAGGCAAAATAAGTCTTTTTTAAATTTTTTAAAAAAATTTAGTACATATTTGTATACATAATAGTTGCATAATTCATTGTGGGGAATTGGTATATGTACATAACACCTCTCAATTCTTTTTTTTTTCTTTTTCCTCCTTCCCCTTCCCTCTTTTTTTGCCAGCATCAGAATCACTTACTTACATACAGAGTATATAAGTCCTTATAGAATTATCATACATTCAGATTAGCAACTGGACTAACTTGCCAAAAAAACATAAAAATACATAAAACCACTATGCTAACCAAGGTGCAGTTTTAGATACATTGTTCATACTAGATGACAGTAACTTTTTCTCTTTTTTTCTAGTGTTTGTATTTTAGGCAAAATAAATCTTGAAATTAGTAAATACCCTATCTCAATAGACCTTTAAGGAAAACTACACAAAATGAATTTTGTAATTCATTGGAGTAAATTTCTCAGGAAGATACATGGAAATTGAGATCCAACTTTATAAATCTTTATTATACAGAAATGTATCACCTCTAAGTTACCCTTAACATAGAGATTTTGATGGTCCAAATTCTGTTTAGAAATTATCCTTTGGAAATTTGAACTTTTTCCCTGGAATGTGCTGTATCTACTAAAGGACAGAGAGTCTCTGCTGTTGTTGAGTGAGGGTCACTCTAGTGGCAGTTTCACTGTATATAAAGCACCTCCATAGATTAGCGCTAGGTCTAGCAGTGCTAACAGTGTTCCAGCAGTTCCCCAATCCCCTCCCAGTCACAAGCCCCATCCCCAAGCCAATTGCTCTCCAGGTTGCCAACACCATGACTGAACTGTGCTAATTTGGTTTGAACTGTGTCTGAATGCACTTCTTTGTGCCCCATGCTCTCTGTGTCAAGCATGAGATGCATCTGTGTGGCTGCTCACAGCGGCCACTCATTCTGGTAGCTGAAGAGCAGGCAGCAAGCCCCTTTGGGCTCTGGGCCCAGATTTAGCTTGGGGCCTTATTTTGTACAGCCTACGAATTAAGAACGGTTTAAGGGATCCTAAGGTAAATAAGCAAGAAATAGACATGTGAGACTGCATGTGGTCTGCAAAACCTAAAATACTTGCTGTTTAACGTTTTTCAGACAATGTTTGCTGACCTGTTCTGCAGCATAATGTATAAATATACCACCTTAACCCACCTGTTCTGCTCTTGGTGGGCATCCCAGGTCTTCCTGCAGTCTTGCACAGGTGTCTTGGTACAGTAGATTGCAGGCTGTGCTAGATGACTACCCTGAAGTGGAGCTCCTAGTGCTCAGGGTTTGCAGTGATTCTCAGCCTTCAGGCTGAGGTGGTGGTACCATTGTACACTGCTATGTCCATATGTGGGAAGTTCCCTTCACTGAGGACCTTTCCAACACTTGGCAGATTCATTCTGAAAGTAGGCTGTTTGTGTGAGTTTCTGTGATAGCAGGTGTGGCTTTAATTTGCATGCCTTTGGAGACCACTGAGGTTGAGATCAGAGGCTTGTGGGCCAATTGTTATGCACTTGTGTGAAATGCCTCTGTATGAGTGAATTACTGTGCCACATTTCTGTTGGATTATTTGCCTTTTTCTTTTACTGATTGATAAAAGTTCTTTATATGTTGTAGGCACGAGTCCTTTGCTTATTTACAAATTACAGATACCCTGTCCCATTCTGTTGCTTGATTTTTCTCTTGTTTTCTGCTCAACAGAAATTTGTTTTGTCTTATTTTGTTTTGTGTGTTTTGTTTTGGTGCAAGGAATGAACTCACAGGCTCGTGCTTGCCAGGCAAGCACTGTGCCGCTGAGCTGTATCAGTTTTTAATTTTATTGTAGTCAAGTTTATCAAAAGGTTTATTGATACGGCCTGCTTTAGAAATCCTCACTTACCCTAAGATTTTGAAGATCACTGTCTTGTGTTTTCTCCTAGAAGGTACACAGTTTTATTTTTCCACGTTTACATCAACATCAAGTGGAGGTGATATTAGTGGATGGAGTGCGGTAGAGGTGACAGCTCATGTTTTTTGTATGTCACTTCAGTTGCTCCAGTACTGCTAAGTGAAAAGTCAGTATTTTCGGGGCTGGGGATTTAGCTCAGCGGCATAAGCGCCTGCCTTGCAAGCAGGCAGTCGTGAGTTCCATCCCCGGTACCGATAAAAACAAAAAAGACCAAAAAAAAAAAAAAAGTCAGTATTTTCCCTGCCCCATTGTGTCACCTTATCACAACTCAAGTTCCAGGGTAGGCATGACTCTGTTTCAGGATTCTCCATGCTGCTCCACTTGTACGCTTGCCTGCCATTAGGCCCACCCCACCTTGTCTGAATTACTACTGAGTTATAATAAGACTTGATCACTGCTACTCTTTAGTTTTTCAGCTTTTTCTTTAAGTGTATCTGAACTTTCTTGGTTGTTTACAATTCCATAAATGTTTGTAACAGCTTGTCAGTGTTCTGGGTTTTTTTTGGGGGGGGGGATTGTTTTTTGTCTTTTATTTTTGAGACAGGGTCTCTCTAGGCAGTTCAGGCTGGCCTTGAGCTCACTTTGTAGCCCAGGCTGGTCTAGAACTCGCAATGATCCTCCCACCTCAGCCTCCTGAGTGCTGGGATTACAGGCGTGAGCCACCACGCCTGGCTGTCAATGTTCATTTTAATTAAGATCATGTGGCATCTATAAATTAATTAGGGGAACATTGAGTTCTGATTATAATTAAGTTATTCATTCCCTAACCATGGTATATTTTTCCAGTTTTAAAAGTTAATTATTGGCGAGGCACATGCCTGTAATCCCAGCACTCGGGAGGCTGAGGCTGGAGGATCATTGCAAGTTTAAGACCAGCCTGGGCTACAAAGTGAGCACATGGCCAGCCTGAACTGCATAGCGAGACCCTATCTCAAAAGTAAAAAAAAAAAAGAAAAGAAAAGATAAAAAATAAGCTAATTATTTATTCACAGTGTTGCAAAACAGTAGCATAGATACTATTCCCTCCTGTAGTGTACCTCTAGTATAGTTATTCCAACTTCAGATACAGAGATGGATAAAGATGTTTGATACAGTGCTGGTCCATGAAAAGATTTATGAAATGAAATTTTTCCTGTGGAATCTGGAATCCTTTGAAACAGATGAGATTCTAACAGAGTTGGGATTGAGTGCAGGTGAGAGAGGGCCTTCATGTTCTTCTGCCCCGGTGACTCAGGTTGTGTCTTGTGCACGTCCTCATTACCAGACTTGCCTCACTGTGACCTCTGAGGTGACCACAGGGGTATCATGCATAGTTAGCAGGTGGAGCCAGCCACATCCACAGGGTGATGTCTGGTGTCACGTGTGCTCTCCAGGGCAGCCTTGCCCTGCTCATCAGCTTCTGTTCCTCCCTGCAGGACTGTCCTTTCATTGTCTGTATGACCTACGCCTTCCACACGCCTGATAAACTCTGCTTCATTCTTGACCTGATGAACGGTAAGCAAACCCAAAAAGCCCATCTCCTGAAAGACTGTACCCAAGGCTCCTTCTGGGCAGTGGACATCAAGGCCAGTGTTGAGGTCCTCTGTGGTGATCAGCTCCCACCCCATTTGAAGAAATCTTTTCCTTTAGTTTTCAGTCCAAATTCATTTTACAGCATTGCCTATGATTTCCCTCTAGGCCTGCCACCTGCCAGTCTCTTCCTAGGAAGTTGGATTTTTTGGAAAATATTTTCATAAATGCTGCCAGCGAAATTTGATTTTCTGGAATGCAGCTGGCCTAGGTCTTTAAATTAGCTTATTTCCTGGCCCTCCACTCTTAGGAATGAAACACCTCCCAAAAACATATGTTTTAAAACCAACTTTTAAGGGCTGACTTTTAGACCAGTACATGTTTTAGCTCGATGCTCTGCACCTTCTGAGTTGATGCTCTGCACCTTCTGAGTTGACAGAATCACCTTTCAAACTGAGCTATGGTCCAGATCATGCCAAAATGTCCAACTCGAAACGTTTCTTTCTAAAAGAACTGCCACGGTGCATGTTCAAAGTACAAGTAACAAGAAATTAAAAGGTAGATAAGTCAACCATTCAGATACCTAGTTTTTTTAAGTTCACTTGAAGTTCTAAGCGATTTAAAAACAATATTTATCTACAAACAGGAAAGAATTTCACAGACACAATGGTGAACCAAATCAGCACAGGTAATACATGGTCAAAAATATTTAAATACCATTTATCATAGTAAAAGATACATTGTCATTTATTCCCTTCAAAATGCTCTTCCTCACTTTAAACACACCCCACGGTTCTTGTCACTTTCTGAAGCAACTCTGGAGTCCTCATTCATGAGTGTCTTTATGAGGTATGAACCAGAAATTAAGTGACCACTGCGAAGTGCCATCCAGTGGAAGAGCAGGCCCATAGAAACATTACCATTTGTCTTCGTCCATGTTCTTTACCAGACCTGGCCCCGTGTGATTTCTGAGTCCTTCTCAAAGTCAAAGTGACCATGAAAGAAAAATGTTTTGAATCTATTCAGGACATTGAGGTAACCACAACAACTCAACTAACGGCACTCAAAGAAAGATTTCCAGAACTACTTTAGAAATGGCAGGAACAATCGAGTAAGCGTGTTTGAAGAATGGGAGAGTATTTTGAGGGAGATGAATGGCAATGTGTCTTTTAGTATAATAAATTTTTTAAGAATAAAATTTAAAACTCTCCACACTTTTCAGTCATACCATGTATTTGCTGCTCAGAACAGGAACTGCTTAGGACTGGACAGGGCAAAGAGTTGGGCTGAGGCCAATGCTGTGGCCAGAGAGGTCCTGGGGAGCTTTTGGGATATTGCAAATTCAGTCTTGAAGGAGGACAGGGATGCACCGGTGTTGGCGGAGTACTGCACCTGTAAACCCAGGGTGATGACATTGAAGACATTAATTTTGTAAATCAAGACTTTTCCCTATGGCTTATAAAAATATTCGCATGCTCTGCTGTAATTTGAGTCTGCATGATTATTTCCTTTTCCCAATATTATGAAACATTCCGAACATAGCAAAGTAGAAAGACTTACTGGGGACACTCAGACACTCATACCTGGGTTTTAATTTTGAACAAATTCAAATACTTTTACTGGGGACACTCTGACACTTACACCTGTTTAAATTTCACTGTATTTGCTTTATCAAATGTTTGTTAGTTTACCTGTCAGCAAGACATTCACTAAACTGTCTTGGAATCTCTGCAGAGATCGATTTAGTTATCACACAGTGTAAGTAATGCCAGTAAATCAGCTCGTCCTCCCTTTGATGCTGGGCTGCCAACCCAAGCAGAATTGCTCATTGCTCTGCTGTATCAACTCACCTGTCATTGCATTTAGTCTTCTGACGATCACGATTTCTCCGTAACGTTTAAATTTTGTACTTTACCAAACTACAAAAGGCAAGAACAGCATTCGCTTTCTCTGCTTCTGTCCTGACTACTTAGGATGGCAGTGATTTGTGTTCCCTTCAGAAAAACACACTGTGGATTAACATGTGCACCTGATTCCAGGTGGCGATTTACACTATCACCTCTCACAGCATGGGGTGTTTTCTGAGAAGGAGATGCGGTTTTATGCCACGGAAATCATTCTAGGGCTGGAGCACATGCACAACCGCTTCGTGGTCTATAGAGACTTGAAGGTGAGAATGGCAGATGTGCCGCTTCTGCATAATGGGCCCAGATTCCCCCAAGTCTCCCCTCCCCTAGCTGTGCTGTCCCTTCTGTTGTAGCCCTGTCACAGCCCAGACAAAGTCATTCTCTGTGTGGTGTTTGTCTCTCTGACCCATCTCTCAAGGACAGAACTCATGGGCATCCTTGTTGTGTGGTCAGCTTAGCCCCTGCTCTGGTGCCTGGCATAGCACTTAGGCCAGTCGGAAACTTAATAAGAAGAAATACTTTTGGTGTTGCCCATTTTATAATTACTTGTACTTCAATAAATCAGCAACTGATTTGGCTGTGGCTGTTTGTCAGAGCTGGAGATACTAAGATGAACAGGCTGAGCAAGTACAGTAGTACCTCAGTTCGTGAATGCCGTTATTTGCAAACAGTTTAGTTTGCAAACAGAAACATTTGGCAAAACTTTGTTTTTCTTTGCAAACTCTGCATTAGATGATGAACTCAACCATGACCATCTTTCCCAGACTCGTGGAATGAATTAAGTTTGTGAACTGCAGTGCCACTATTCTTTTGTTGTTGTCATTGTTGTTGTTGTGGGGTTGTTTGTCTGTTTTGTTTTGTTTTTGATACCGGGTATTGAGCTCAATTTATAAATGTACTTTTCTAACATTTTTTTCACAAAATATTTTGTGATTTTTAAAGATTTCTGCAGGATTAAATAATTATTTCATTAGTTTTCATGTGTGCATAAATAAAGAAAAATAGTATTTTTATTGAATTAGAAATAACTAGACATTGGTTGACTCATGACATTTTATTTCCTCATGTGGGTTTTACAGAAAATTGCTGCTGAAGGTCCATGAAGTGCTATTATAATACATTTTAATTTAAACCTATAACCGGTTTCTAATCATCTTTATGTCATATTTTTGTTTTCTAAGCTATTTAGTTGGCCTTGCTATTATTTAATTGCTTTTCAGATTGAATTGTAGTCACTCCTGATTAGTCATACTTCAGTTTTATAATAGCTTGCCATTATTTTTATTGTAAGCAAAACAATAGTTGATCTCCAGCAGAAAAATATTATTAAGATGACAGTAATTCAATGTATGTTAGAGAGAGGAGCTTTTTTTCCATGATTATGCTAAGTCTAATCCTAATAGATGCATTTCATCATAGTGGTAGTGAGAATCATATTTGGTCATTTGGTAGGCCTCTCGCTTGATGATGTACCAATAAACAGAAATGACATTTATCAGGATTGGTGTGGCAGTGTGGAACAGTTTGACTTCTTAGGTTAGCATCTGTATGTTCTTGCAAGGTTCCTTTCTGTTCTGTGCTATGTGACTGTGCTCTAAGGTCTTCTGATTCACCTAAGCCACACAGCAGGTGGCCCTGCTCCCTGTTGCCTGATCTGGCTACATTCTGGGCATGGAGTAAAGCAGTTGCTTGCTGTTACCTCTGATGAACTGTGCCCATGTGTCATTTTCCAAGGAGTAAAGTCTTTCATCTCTTTCACTGTCTTTCTTTGCTGAAATTAACATGAGCAATGTTGTTCTGTGTGCTCCCTGGTTCCATTGGGAGCATAGCTATAACTATGTTTAGGAACAAACTACCTCAAAGAGATATATTAGCAAACATGCATGCTCTGAGAAGGTCTCCAAGCCCCGTGGCCTGATGTGACTTCTGATGAGCGTCTTCTGTTTCCATTTAGCCTGCAAATATCCTCCTGGATGAGCATGGGCATGTCAGGATCTCCGATCTCGGTCTGGCCTGTGATTTTTCCAAAAAGAAGCCGCATGCAAGCGTGTAAGTGGCCCACCACTGTGTTGGCTGCCCTTTTCCTGCTGCAATTTATTTGTTCCATCAGATGCTGGCTTGGCCATTGTGTCCGACCCCCTTTCTTGCCCGCTGTGGTTTTCAAAAAGTGATAATGCCAGGTCAGGGGAGGATTCACCACTGAAGGTTTGGGAGTGGAGGGAAGAGTGGGATGCTTCAGGAGCGTGGGTTGCTCCATAGTGTAACTGGCCTGCTCAGGGAAGGTCAGTGGCAGTGATAGTGAACCTATGGCATGCATATTGCAGCAAGCCATTTGTGTCACAAAGGTTTAGCATCGCTGGTCTATCGGGAGAGTTTGGGCCTCAGGTAAAGAGCTGAATTCAAGCTGCCTGTGTGACCCTAAGCAAGACAGCTCACCTCTTCAACCCTCAGTCTTCTCTAGAGTGGCAGTAATAATTCTAAATCCCTTTACATTGTCATAAGGATAAATGCAGGAACTCAGGTGCCAAGGGAGAGGTACATAGCTGTAGACAGGGTCTAGGGGCCAAGTTTCCCTCTCTATCTTCTTTTGTTTTCTTTTTTTAAAAATGTTTCTCCTCTGAAGAGAAATCGGACATTTTCTTTCCTAAAGTGAAGAAACTAATCATTTACCTGCTTTTAATGTGGGTCACGTTATTGGATTCGGATGTTGCACCAGCCCTCCAGGTTACCATACAGAGGTAATTCCTGTTTTGTAGCTCGAGGCCAGTTCCTGGCACATCAGAGACACTGAACTGCTCCTGCTGGTGGCCCTGTTTGGTCAGTGCTAGTTGTTATGGCCCAAAGATGTCTCCTAACTCAGGAGCATGACAGGAGGCATGTTTAGGCAGCTCTCCAGCTCTACAGACATGAAATGGAGTCTGCCGCGCTGTTCAGTTCTGTTTCTTCGGTGTCAGTTCATCTGGGTGGAAAGTAGACATGTATACAGTTTGTGGTGAAGCAGACAGATTCTGCTTTGTCTTTTTAAATGTCACATTCTTACCGCTGCATCTCTTAAAATTACATTTTATTATCCCTCTTAAGCGAACATTGGTCTCTGTTGAATGGTCTCGAGGAAACTCCCTGGGGTCTCGCGTGCATCCATGCAGAAAATCAACTACAGAGTCATCGCTTTGTGTAACTAGAAGTAAAGTAATTCTGAATTGCAATATCTTATGTGGAACTGCATTAAAGTAAAATTCCCTTTTAAAGCTCTGCTCAAATGTTAATAGTGAATAGCAGCTTTTCTGTAAACATACTTCTTTCTACAGACTCTCGGATATGGCAATAAAAGCATTAGCATTTTGCCGGCACTTTCCAGTTATTAGGCTAGAGCCCATGGTTGTATAAGCTTCTCCCAGGGAGTTCCTCAGATGTTTTAAAGAGAGTCATTTGAATTTTTAATATCACAGCTATTTGGTATGTTAATTTCTTCAATTTACTGTAGTCATAACTATATGAACCCAAGCGTTCATAAGAGTTAATTTTCCAAAAGTATTACCTTCCAGACATGGGGCTATTTATTTCCTTTTACAGCCCAGCCTACTTCTTGCTCAAATTCATACCAGCTCTGAGAGGTGGGTTCTTCTGTCCATCTTGGGAAGCTCAGTATTTGAATGACATCGGTGAAGGGGTTGAATGAGAAGGCTGGTTTCATGTTAATTGTTAAGAGTGGTAACCATTACTTTAAAAAGCTAAGTGCACAATGAGATACTAATCTTTTGTGAGTCCAGGGCCTTCTCACTAAACCTCATCCTCAGCCTTTATTTTTTATTTTGAGACAAGGTCTTACCATATTGCCCAGGCTGAACTTGAACTTTCTATCCTCCTGCCTCAGCCTTCCAGAGTGCTGGAATTATGGGTGTCTGCCACCATGCCCGCCTCACATGCTACATTTTTAAAAGAAGGAGTTTTTTTATGACTAAGGACAAAGACTTCACATAGGGTTTAAATTTCTTCTCCAGGCTGTGTGAGCCTCATTTCTCTCTTCTGTAAAGAGGAGGGCACCATAGCATTGCCCTCCTGGGGCAGTGTGAAGTGAGGAGCCAATAAGTAATTCAGTATTTATTTCACACTCACTCTGGGTCAGGTACAGCAGTAAGACAGAATGAGTCCCTGATCTAGAACTAGAAGCCCAGGAAACTTTGTTCATTAAGTAACCAGCATGAGGGGAGGCAGTGGGGCCAGCAGCATTGACTGGGTGTCAGCTGTTCTAGGCTTCACTAGCAGCTCTAAATATATCTTCATGGAAGTCCCCATAAATCATGGGTCTGTTAACCACTTTCTATGGTATGTGAATTGAAGTCTTAAGAAATTAAGTCACTTGACCAAGGTCACATGACTGTTCATATTGTGAGCTGGAATTACAGCCCACCTGTTAGATGCCAAAGCCCACACTCTTTACTTTATGCGCCTGAACACCCTGTGGCTTTGAAATCATCTACAGTGCTAGGTTAAAGATTTTCATCCAGAATTTCACCTTGTACTTGGTCTCTCAGGTCTATTCAGAGCTATAGCTGTGATCCTCAGACTTCATCTGCTGGCTGTTCCATTGGTAGGGTAGTGTTGTGATTGAGGTTTGTGATCTGAGCTTAGACTTGGTCCATTTCATGACAGGATTACAAATAATTATAAACTTGATTCATTCAACTATGGAATACCCATAAGAATTTAAAGGAAAACTTTTGGAGTTGGACAGATTGTCAGTGACTAATTTGAGTCTTAGCATAAAATTTTATCTACAAACATAAAACTGCATGTCATGTCACAATGTCTTAAATGTTCAGATGTTCATCAGTATTAATAGTAATCCAAATCTTTAGCCAAATGCCATGAAGTATTAGTAGCTGCTGGTAGGCAGAATCAGAAAGCCACAGTGTAGGCAATTCAGTATTTTGCTTTACTTGTATCCAGTGTACATACTTAGAATTGCTCTGCACTAAGTGTTGTATTTATTCTTCTGGGTGTCTTTCTATTTTGAAGTTATGATTTGATCCTGAGAATTAGGGCTAAGTGGTCACCACAAAGGGCTTTTCCAGGCAACACTGAAAATTAAACCTTCGCGAAAAGGGTTTGGATGCCCTTGTAGAGATCCCTGACACACTCAGTGCGGCTCAGTGATCTTACCCTGGAGCTTCCCAGAGCGCTGCACCTTCATGACCCAAAGCCCATTGCTACGTTTTACTAAAGCTCTTTCAAAACATCCCTCCTAGACGGGCTACCGGGCTCTGTGGTGATCTGGGGTCCTTAGTCCAGGATGAGTTCCAGAGCAGAGCCTCAGCTGTACCTGAGCATGAGTATGTCACAGTGACTCTACCCACGTAAGAGAAGGGATTGAATCCCCAACATGGATTGAGCTTACTCTATACCAGCACCATTCTTAGCCTTGTCATATCTTTAATCCTCACAGCACCCCTGAGACGTAGAGGTAGGTAGCATCTTATTACTCGTTCTGTTGATGAGAAAAGTTAGGAGTGGAGAGGTTTCAGGGTATGTGAGAATGGTTTTTCCAAGCCCTCACCCCAATTGTATCTTAGCCCCTGAGAGCTCCTCTTGCCCCTCATGATGGAGCAGTGTGCACCCTCATCTCCCAGTGATCTGATGTAGAGCAAAGAACAGGTAAACAGTGGGAACCATATAAAAATAAGTATTCTCCCAAGAATTTCTCAGCATCCTCCTAATCATCTTCATGTGTACTTAGTACTGAGTCCTTAGACCTTTAGCAGGTACTAGAGCCTGATGTAGCATCGCTACCTCATGTCCTTAGGGCTTATGTCCCCAACCCCATCTCAGTCCCCTGGGCCCTTTTCACCTCAAGACCAAGCAGCCCCATCGTTGGCACATGTGAGCTCAGGAGGTAGCAGAGCAAGGAGTGAATGTCGTCTACCCTTAGGTGCACAGCACTGCAGCACAGTCACCTGCCTGCCTCCTCTCTGTCCTTCCCTAGTCCCCAGATAGCCTGTAGCAGTGGTCTTGAAAAGGCAGGAGAACTTTGACCCTTCATGGTGGAACAAAAGGGGCCAAAGAACTATGAGGTTCAGATCTCACCTCCTAAGTTGTTTATATGAATTTACATACTAACAAAGATAGAGAAGATTGGACATGCAGTGCAGTGTGTGTGTAGAAGCAGGGGTGTCCTCCGCTTGGTTGTTGCCTTCTCACATGGCACCTGTCTCTCCTGGTGGGTTGTCAAGTGTGTTGTCCTAAGGTGAACATGCTCTGATGATCACATGTCTTCTCCGCAGGGGCACCCATGGGTATATGGCTCCTGAGGTGCTACAGAAGGGGACGGCCTACGACAGCAGTGCTGACTGGTTCTCCCTGGGCTGTATGCTCTTCAAACTTCTGAGGGGGTGAGTGGAACCACCGTGCTGCCATATGCTTGGACCAAAATCAAATATGCTTTGGGCCAGGCTAGACTCAGTGCTAGAACACTGCCCTAGCACACTCAGTGCCCTGGGTCTCATCCCAGTACCAAAGGTAGGGAGCATTTAGACATTACTAGACCTTCATATCTGAAATCACACAGTGATACTCAAGCTGTGTGCTGCTCTGGAAGATGCCCTAGGCAGCTCTTTGTACCTTACAGCATGAGAGCTGCTTTGCTATAAGCTCCTAGATCAAAGCACAAGTGTCCCAGTATGGTTAACCCTAAAAAGAGACTGCTTTAGAGTGTTTTCATTAATAGATCATGTTCTGGAAGTAAGTACAATACTGTATTAAAATGTGGATAATTGAGGAAGATGGAATACTTTTTTGCCATGTCAACTCATTGCTAAGATTCTGTTTTGACCAAAAGCATCTTGAGGATTACCCAAAGAAAAACCAAGAACCAAAATAAACCTGCTTTAAAAGTTTGAATTTATTTGTAAACACACACTAATTTTTTAAAGTTGTTTTTAAAGTTAATGCAATACTTGACCTTGTTCTACGGTACTGGAGATGATGGGATAAAGCAGAGAAGATAGGGAAGGAAAACACTAAAGTTTTGTTCTCATATTGAACACTCAAGTTACGATGTTTCCATGAATTTTAAGAAGTTTTAGATTATTTTAAAGGTGAACTCAATCTTAAAAGAACCTAAACGTTTTTCATTCTTCTACACAAGATCCAGAAAGCACTTTACTTTGCAATTTCTTGGTCAGAATTTACCTGTACCGTTTCCTCAGTGAACAGTCCTGCAGAGCGGTTCTGTCTGCGTGCCTGTGGAGTCCTGCTGCATCTTCTGATTCTGTTTGATGTACTCTGAAAAGAGGCTGACTTCCACACACCCCAAAACCAGGGCCCAAACACTTACTCTGTTTCCTCGGGACACTGATAATTCGTCTGTTCTCTGCTCACCATGTTCACTGGGGATCTAAAATCATGTTACTGCTTAGAAAGTCGGGTCTGTTATTCCATAATCAAATCATTGCATTTGTGGAGCCTGCGTGGCTTTAATTCCTGTCTTCAGACTAGCTGACCTGATTAGAGAGTTTATGTAAAGCAAACTAGAGCAAGCCAATTCCCCGCCGAGAGCCTTTCTCCCTGATGGCGTCCATTACAAGTCCAGGGAGACACCAGGAGTCTTTGTTTCTGTCCCTGCGGATGTGGGGTCAGACATGAATCTATGCCTGCGGAGTCTGGGGTGAGGACAGACAGCATCAGCCAGCCCATCAGGGACCGCAGTCAGCAGTGAAATGTAACAGGGCGGTCCATGAAGACTTGCAGTTAGAGTTTTGTTTGCTTCTTTTGTTGTTCTGTTTGTAAAGATTTTGATGCATATAGGAGGATCTGGCATGGCACTACTTTCTTTTCTGAAAGATTGGAAGATTTTACACTTTAGGTCCAAACTGTGATTTGTGGCTGGTAAAGTAAATTTTCTTTTCTTACTTGGCCACAATCAGGTTGGGGGTAATACTGAATTGGAAGATATCAGTCTCCCTATGTAAAGTTCTGGATTGGACTTGTTGGGGGCATTACATACACTCTTCTGTTGATGGGAGCTCTGGCAGGCAAGAAGACACCAGAAGATGGCCCTAAGGACAGGATAGGAAGAGTGGTGACTGAGATAGAGAATGAGGCTTCTACAGAGAGGTTGAATGAGTCAACCACAGAATTTAGAGAACAGAACAATCAACTCCAGCATTTGGAAGGCCATCTTACTGAAGGAGTTGTTTTCATCATGCCTGACTGCAGAGGGCAGGCATGCTACACAGGGGGGAAACATTGCAGGTTGATCCAAGAATGTCCATTGACGTATTTGAGCATTCTCTCACAGATAAAAATCTCCCCATTGCTGCCTAGTGACCATGACCATGGATTGAGCCTAAAGTCAAGAATCCGTCAAGTATCTGACAGATAAGGACCAGGTGACTCTTCCCACCAAAATCTATGATGTTAGGCCATCCTTTCTATTACTTGTTCAAACGGCCTTCATGGAAAGGATACTGCACTCAGACCAATGAGCAGGAAATGTGTGTTGACTTAAGTGATTTAAATTAAAGTTGATAAATATATATTGAATATTTAGACTACACAAGAGACTGCTAGATGGGGGAGGAGTCCACCCACACAGGACAGAAGTCACATGAGCTATGCCAGTATGTATGGATGGGACACTAAGGACCAAGCTGCTGTTCTCCTTGTGCCCAGGAGTGGTGGGTGCCATGTTTCAGAAGGGCGTTTGCTGGGGGAAGAGAGAGGACTGGATCAGGGCCCTGAGGGGCCTCAAATGCCTTTATCTCATGGTCCCAGAGACTGAGGCTTTCCAGCCACGGAGTGACATAATCATTGGGAGATTTGTCAGGAAGAGAGATCAGACAGCAGCAGGCAGCATGCCGAGAGGGGAAGGCGTGGGAACCTTAGGGAAGGCACATCAGTGCAGGGATTGGCATGGGAGCAGTGGCAAAACAGCACTACCGGGTCAGCATCCCCGATGCCAGAGCCTTTCAGGATGCGTGGATATGGGAGGACAGGAGTTAAAGACGGTGCCACGAGAGTAACTGGGAGGGAAGAGAGTGCTAGCATTGCCAAACCAACAGTTGTAAATTGCAGAGGTTAGAGTAAACCAGTGTTCCCTCAGGCCTTTCGGGAGCAGATCCCTGTGATGGGACTGACAGGTGTGGCCACACACAGGAATCTTCATTCCCTGAACTGTGAATGCAGGAGAATACCAGCTGTGCCACTTGTCCCACTTCCTAATAAAAATCCGTGTGGAAAACCTCAACATGGTGTCAAGCAGCGCCCTGTGCATTCATACTTCATCTAGAAGGGTGCCCATCCCAGCAGCTGGCCTTTCTCTGACATGAGAAACACAAATGCGTGAAGCAGGAGGCTGAGTGGCTGGAGCACTGAGCCAGCACCTGTAGGGCTTCCTGATTTCTGGCATGGGACAGCCTGTCCCCTCTGCATCCTGACACTCATGGAGCAGAAGTAGCCAGATACCATACTGACAGCCCCCAGAGCTTGTGCCCAGACTTCAGGGAACATGTGACACTTCTTTGAGATATTTTTGGTTGCCATAACTTGGAGAAGAGCTGGGGTACAGGTCAGGGCTGCTGCTCAGCATCCCACAGTGCCCAGGGGCACCTCCCTGGACCTACCCCTATGTTGGCAGTGCTGAGATAAAGAATCCCACTCTAGGTGAAGACCCATCTCCCTGTTCCTGCACTGTTTAGTGATGTTGAGGCAGTAGTCACGAGGTATCGTTTGCAGTTCTTATTTCCTGTGATGTAGACTCTTCCCTCTGATCCTCTGCCAAACCACTATTCTGCGTAGCTTTTTGTGCCTGATACCCCAAAACAGAGGTGGCAAACCTACAGCATGAGTGCCACAGCAGTCTGTTCATATCATTGAAAACTCGAAAAGGTTCACCATCACTGCAGAAGGACAGCAGCAAGACACTGTCAGGCTCTAGAAGGTAGGTCTGCATTCCTAGGCTCACAGCAATGAATCAGGCCAGCCATACATCCTGTTTATGGATGTGGTCACCACATCTGTCTCACATGATTTTGCCAGATGTTTAAGAGCACCTGCTGCAAATCTGTGTGCATCGCTCTCATTATCCTCCATTTAAATTAAAGGTATCTGTTAAGGAAGAGAACTGAGGCAGCAGTGACCTCAATCGTAAGCTTGTTACTATTGATTATGCATGCCTGGAGATGTTATATGTCAGAAAGAGCCTGGATGGGTAGTGGGTTGAAGAGTTGACAGTTGCCTGGGGTTACTGCATTTGCTCTATCAGGGGGAAGAAAACAGGAATGTTTGCAACTGTTTTGGTAACTGTGGGCTCAGACTCAAAAGCCATGTTTGACAGAACATCCAATCTTTTTGGTATTCAAAAATTAATTTTTGATGTGAGCGTTTTTAATCTCTTGTCTTTAATTGTCTTGTCTTTAAGCTCACTGTGCACTGTGGATTTGATACACTAATGTGGAGTTTGTCTGTATTTCCTCATCCTGTTAGATGGTTTCCCACCCCCTCAGGAGCACATATTCCACTCTCCCACCATCTGTAATGTGGAAGCTGCACTTGACCACTGCACGTAGAACTCTGTTCCCACACTGTTCCCTGATGATGCTGAAATGTTGCTTGTGGTGCCCAGGGAACTTGGCTCTGCACTGAGAGATGGTGACAGGCCTGTTGGTGTCTCCTATTTAAAGCATGCTGCACCAGGGAGCAGCTGCCATCACACAAGATCTGTGAGCACCACGTGCCCCACTCGGAATGGAGATTATTACTATCAGAGGTTTTCTTTAACATTTTCCAAAATAGAAGCCAGATCACTGGCTTTGTTCACAAAGAATAATCAGGACTACATTGGAAACAGATGTGCATCAAGATCTTAACTCGAAAGCCCAAACTTTCTCCACAAGACAGCATAGAGTTGAATAGCTGAAAAGCAGTTTCTGATAATTCCTTATTGAGTAGAACATGGTAGTGCTATATTTATAAATGGAAATTTACAGGGCCTGGCCCCATGTGCTGGCAGTGTTTTTAGCACCACCAAGTTTCTAGTCCGTTTGCAGGCCTCCCTGAGGTCTTGTGAAAGGCTTTAAAGTTAGCCTGCATGTTCTCCTAGCTCAAGGTGTGGCCTTGCCTTCTGGCACCAGAGCAGGTGAAGACAAAAGGCTGTCATCACCCCTTTGTGTTGCTGCAACAGAATGCACTGGGAAATTGATGAGGGAAAGACATTTATTTGGCTCACAGTTCTGGAGTCTGTACTGCCCAAAGAGCATGGCACTGGCATTTGGTAAAGGCTTTTGTGCTGCTTCTTAACAGGATAGAGGATATCCCGGTGGGGCAGAGAGCAAGAGAAAGCCAAGGAAGCCAAACGCACTTTGTAACAAACCACTCCTGCCACAAATAACCCATTCCTCTGATAACTAACCCACCTCTGCAATGGCTAACACACACCTTGATAACTAACCCCATAACTGGCCTCAATCCATTCATGAAGATGGGATCATTGACACCTCATTACCTCTTAAAGGTCCCACCCCTCAATATCACCGTGGCAGTTAAATTTTACCAGGAGTTTTGGAGATGACATTCACATCAGGACAGGATCAAATTTTGGGCGGGGTCCTCTGGCTTTCCACAAAAGAGTCAGGTCAGGACAACTGGCCAGAATTGAAGATCTCCACTGGATCTTTTTTATATCTGAGAAACATTGTTGGTCAGGAACATAAGTATCAAGGAGAGAGACTCATTAATAAGATTTAGTAAACTTATATTCCCTTTCTCTAGAACAGTCAATGTGTTACTATTTCTGTGGATTTCATATAAAAGAAAATGATAAAAGCATGATTTTCTTTAACATTCACAATATCTTATAGATAACAAATAACCTCTTTTGCTTTCTAATGTAGTCCTTGTGCATTTTGCTCCATGGAAACAAAAATGAAAAGAATATTTCCAGTCAAAGTCTATTTTAAAAGACTACCAATGCTTGCTTAGTTCCAATTCTCATTTTGCTTTTCAGATTAATGCCTCTAAGAGATAGAAATCACTTTGTATTTCATTGCATGATGAGGAAAAAAATAAAGTATGAGAGTGCCCTCTGTTGTACAAAGAAAAAATTAAATTATTCTAAGCAATAAATCACCTCCCAAAGGAACAAGTCACTGCCTAACCCTACCAGCCCCAAAGCAGGAAGTGCCAGCAAAAGGACAAGTGACATTTCTGTTCTGTTTTTGAATCCCCTTACTTTGGGTGCTCACTATTCCATTCTATTTGGTGAAGTTAATGTTAAAATACTTCGCATAATACTTGCCTCAGGTTATGTCATAAATATCTTATCAATAGCCTGACAGGATTAGTCCTTCTACAGGCATTTGTTGCTTGCTGTAAGAAAATCACCTGTACCCCTTCTTTAACTTTCAAGTAAATAAAGAGGCTATGTTGTTCTGGTTTGTGTATTTAAAAGTGTCTGTTAATGATAGAATTTTCCTTAAAAGTCAGCTTTTACAGTTTTTAAAACATGACAGAGTAAGAGTAACTTGTTTTATGTAGTTTACCAAGCTAAAGATTCATTTTATAAAGTAAGTTGTCCCTGTTAATTTTACAAGTGTTTAACATAGTATGTGCCTACTGCTTGTCCTCTTGACGACCCACACACGCTTTGGTTTCTCTTGACCTTTTTAATTTCCCTTCCCTTCCTTCTGTGACGTGTGAGGCATGATCCTCATTTTTCAGATAAACACATTAGTACTGGTGGATGTCTCCTGGCTCACAGCCAGCAATCGTCTGGGTCATAACTTTTCTGGTTTTCCTGACTCCGAAGTCCAGGGTCCTGTGTGGACAAAACCTGAGTGGGAGCCCAGGTCCTCGGAGGCCTGGTGGTAGTCATTGTTTATCTCTGTTGCCACTAAAGATCAGTTACCCTTCCCAGCCTCTGGGTTGACTTCTCTTCATCTTGGTCTTGCTTTATTAGTTTGACTGCACTTCTGTGGGTAGTTTCAGGGACCAGTATCCACTTTCCTAAAAGAATTGCATTGAAGTTACTGTTCGCCTAAGCACTGATGACACGTTGTATAAATAACTCGCATTTTCATGATTTTCTGTTGACTGATACTACCCCTAATGATATTTTAATTGGAAAACCACATTCTAGTGCCACAGTTTCACTGACCTGAGGGTGAGGCAGATCAGTGAGATGGAATGTTATTTGTTCAGGCCTTCGTGTGTGTTATGTGGTCACTTAGTTTTTTCTGGAAATGATAAATGATTTTCACATTTCTGTAGTTTCACTTGATACTTTAACTCAAATATTAGTGCATTTGCTAATGTACATGATGCCATATTTTAATAGTGTTCTTTATTTCTACAGTCACAGCCCATTCAGGCAACATAAAACCAAAGATAAGCATGAGATAGACCGAATGACACTCACCGTGGTAAGCAGGTTAAAAACTATGTACTTCTTTGCCTCATGGTGTTTTCATGTTTTATTCCACTATTACTAAAATTACTCTGTTGTAGAAAGTAGGCTAAAAATAATATCTATTATATATAAATGTAAAAAGGATAAAAATTTGCCTTCCTGAAATAAATGAAGATAAAATTACAAGAAGAATTTTAAAAGGAAAATAAAAATGAGCTAGATTCCAGGGTAAAAATCAAAGTTTGCAAACAGAAAGCATAAAAAAGAAATGAAAAGCCAGGGATGTAGCTCAGTGGCAGAAGCACCTGCTTGGCAAGTGAGAGGTCCTGAGTTTGATTCCCGGTACCAAAAAAAAGAAAAGAAAAGAAAAAGAAGAAGAAAAAGAAGTCAAATAAAAGGGACAGTTACTATGATGCAGGCAAGGGAGGAGGCTCCTGAGTCTTCAGATCTGGCTCCAGCCTGTCGACTGGTTTTGAAACCAATTAGTAACCTTTATAAGTTTTTAACGTTTCTTTTTATGTTTATATGGCAGTAACCCACAGTGAATCTGCAGTCTTACAAGAAGTAGTGTCATGTCTGGTTGGTGTGAGAGTTTGTGAGGTCTGTCTCTTCTTTCCCCAGAATGTGGAGCTCCCAGACGCCTTTTCCCCCCAGCTGAGGTCGCTCCTGGAGGGCCTGCTGCAGCGTGAAGTGGGCAAGCGACTGGGTTGCCACGGAGGCGGGTAAGCCTGCTCCTGCCTTGCGTTTCCCTTACGTGGGAAGTGGAGCCATTATTGTTCATATAGCAGAAGGCGCTTCTAGGCCTTCTGATTTTGATCCAAGAGGGGAGAAATCACACAGGGAGTATAGGTATAATTCCCTGTGTTTTACAACTGAGAAGTTGAAGGAGTCAGTAACTTTTTAACTACAAAAATCAAATTTGTAGATGATGGAGATGAATTCTGATATTTTATAGTCCATCTTCAAAAGTTTTAGTCATGCTTATATTTGTGATTGTGGCGTGCTGGTGTTCTGATCAGGTTCCCACATACTTTCTCTCATCATCCATCTAACTACCATCTTACACATGCTTTCCATTCCCCACCACCACACCTCTAAAACCACCCCAACAGAAATACCGGGACAGCTTCTAGAGAAGAGTTTACACCAACTTCTTCCCATTTCTCCTCACGTAAGCTTGCCTTGCCTAGAACCTTTAACAACACGTTACTTATGTGTGCTACATGTTGTATATATGTATTTTTTTGTTATGTGCTGGGGATCGAACTCATAACCTTGGGCATGCCATCCAGGTACTTGTGCCACTGAGCCAAATCCCCAGCCTATATATGTATTCTTTAGAATAGCATGTATGTATGTATGTGTATTATACCTGTATAGTATATGTATGTTTTAGAGATAGCAAAATAATACACTTAAGTATATTTATTTACTTATCAGTAAGAGACTGCCTGTTCTTCCTGTAACAAATGAAGATTTAGCTTACTTGCCACACTCTTTGCAGCCTTCCTTTCCTCACCTCCCAAGAGTTGAAATAGTTTATTTGGTTCTTATGCTTACCTTATAGTTTTAAGTTATATATTTAGCCAGTTGTGCCTTTTCCATCAACAGTGAACAGTGTCCCTGGAAACCCCACTTGATGCTGGGGGAGGAGAGCAATCTTGATATTTTATCATTCATCGTCTGCTTCTCTCATCCATTTTTGTCATGTTATTTTTTATTTTTTCCATGTCAAGTTGACATGGTTTTCTCTCTGTTCTTGAGCAGAGTGAATCAAAAATCAGTCTCTGTGCTTTGCATGCATATCAGTTTGCTTCAGATGAAGAAGTAGTGTGTCCATGTTGTTCGTTCCATAGTTTCTACTTTTGCTTAATCTATCTTAAGGTCTGTGTGTGTGTCAGAGTTGCATGCTTTCACCTTTCCCTTATTTTTCTCTTATGGTGGACTCATTCTCCCAGCTCTGCTGAAAACAGAGCTCTCTCCTCTCTCCTTTCCCCGTCTTCTCCCTTCTCCTCTCTCCCCTCTCTACCCGCCTCACCCTTCTCCCCAGCCGCAGTCGCCATCATTCCTTCTCATGCTCCTCATTTGATTGCCATTTACTTGACCCCATGCTTTCTGGTTTTCAGGGTCCCTCCCTTCTAACTAGGATTTATCCCCAAGTCACTCCTTACAAAGATCTAGAAGAGGACGTGAGGGCGATCTGGCTGCGACACCTGTCACCCCATTGATCGCCAGGGTTGATTCAGCTATCTGGCAGGCTAGGCGGGTGTCCCCTTCCTCCCTCAGTGATCTACATGTGTCCCTCCCGAAGCTGCATGGTTGGCTGAAGGGAAAGACCACCCCGATAGAGGAGGACCATTCTTCGGTCAAGGGTATATAAGTAGCTGCACTCCCCTGCCAGAACCTCCAAACAAGCTCTCAAGAGAGATTATGAGAGACCCTAGTTCCTGAATCTTAGTTACTTGAAATGTCTTCCTGCTGTCTCCAAACATGGCTGCTCTCCACGCCTGATAGAGGATGCAAAATCAGTATTACTTTTACCTCAAAAGTTTGAAGATGGTGCCTTACTGCCCTCCAGCAAGCAGTGCTGGTCACTGAGCTCGGCTAACATATCCCTCGTGACGTCAGGCACTTCGGTTCCAAGACTCCTGTCCTTCAGTGTGAAGAATGCTCTTACTTTACTAACTTGACATTTCATTTCCTCTGTTTCTCTTAGAGCCCCTATTAACCCAATGTTGGGATTTCTTGAATGTTCTCAGATGCTCCTGATCTTGTGTTTTATCTTTTATCTTTCCTTTGGTTCTTTGTTTTGCTTTCTGATTTTTTACAATGTTCATCCTTAACTGATTTTTTTTAATCTTCAGCAAATTTCTTTTCTTAGAAATAGAAGCATTCAGAAATTCTACACCCTCCTAATCATCCCAATAAGGAGGTTTGGCTGTGGGCGTGTATATGTGTGCTGCATGCTCATACATACACCAGGGTCAGAGCCGCCCTTCACTGAGTTCTAGTCCTGTGTCCCCCAGACACACACACAGGCCCTGATGAGTTGGGAAGTCAGTGCATTGACCCTGTCCCCAGGGGAGCAGCTCTGCCACTCTGCCCTTAGTCACACTCCTTCGTCCACACAACCTGACAGCAAGGTGTGTAGGGTACTTGGATACATGGGCTTTCTGGAGCCAGAGTGCTTGTCATGGAGATATGAGAATAAAAAAAAAACAAATACAGGCAGAAAAGAGCCTGGACTGGGCCACATGCCTCAGGGAACCTGTGGAGGATGGAGCTGAGGAACAGCATTGAGCTGTGTGATACAGACTGGCCTGAGAGGAACCTGGTGGGGGTGCAGGGACATGGCCCTTGTCTCAACTTGCAACCTCGGTTCTGCATGCAATATGTCTTAGTTATGACCTAGGAGAAATTTGTTGTTTTAACCTCTAATCGAGTTTGGCATACACCATATTATTAGATTTCTAGTTTGCGCTTAAATACTTGGTGCTTCAGATTCCTATCATTTTCATGTTATTTTCTTCATCAGACTTGTAGTCATTTGCCATAAATTTCTTTAATTTGTGGATCTCCAGTTTAATTCTTACATAAATTACATTCTAACAGCCACATAATTATCATATATATACATATATGTAATTATCATACATAGGCATATTCTGCCCACCTTCAAGGTTTTTACATATAACATGTGTCTCCATGTGATATGTGAAACAGACATATGTATATGTCATACCTGTGAAAACTTCTACATTAGCACAAACTGGAAGAAGCGTCCCACATAAAGGATCATGTTCCAGGTGCAGCCTGCAATATTTCTAAACATTTCAAGACTTCCTGTGCTGCTCAGAAAGAAGCCTTCTTTATTTGCTTCCTTAAAGAGCTGGAAATAATCCCTGTGTTCTTAACAGGAGACCTTTTTTGCAAAGTCTCTGTTGTATTTCCAAATGCACACTCACCACTTTGAGGACTCTCTTTCTTCATCAGCGCACAGGAAGTGAAAGAGCACAGCTTCTTCAAGGGCATCGACTGGCAGCACGTCTACCTACAAAAGGTACCCCTTAGCCTCCCCCTTCTCCTCTCTGTCTCTCTCTCCATACTGCTGGCTTCCTGATTCCCCAGGGTTCCCACTCAGCTTCCCGTTTGCACAGAGTTCTGCAACCTAAGTGGCCAACTCCTAAGGGGCAGCTTTCGTCCTCCTCACTTCCTTGTATCTGCAGATTCCAAATCCACAGATTCAGCCCCATGGTGGAGCACATGCAGGAAGAAAACTGTATCTGTACCCAAGATGTGCAGACTTTTTCTTGTCATTATTCCTCCCACACAATATAGCATAACAGCTATTTACACAGCATTTTCAGTGTACTAAGCATAAGTAATCTAGAGATGATTTAAGTATATGGGAGGATTGCATAGGTCGTATGCAACTACTGTGCCATTGTAGATGAGAGGTTTGAACATGTGTGAATCTTGGTGTCCAGCTTGTCCTGAAGCCCATTCCCTACAATTACTGAGGGACAACTACAAAACTTCCAAAAATATCTTTTCTATAAATTTACCAAAAGTCCATGTAATCGAAACTTTGCTCATATTCTTAAATTCTTTGCTCAATATATAACCATATTTTTACACAGAGCTATGTAAAAAATATTCTGGACACTTCTAAGTTTATGTATATTTGCAAGCCCAGCACCACATAATTTTAAGAATTAGTATGTTTTTATATCCGCATAATTCCCTTTCCTTATTTCTTATTTTTGTATGTGTTTTGTGCTACACATGGAACCCAGGGCTTCGTGCATGCTACGTGCTCTACTCTTGAGCCATACCCCAGCCGCTTTCCTTATTGAAGCATTAATCTCATTAATACAGGAAACACCTCAAATTAAATTTTTTGAAAATATTGATTATCTTCCTGGACTCCTTTCTACCTGAATTCAGCCCTGCAGAGTGAGGACTTTCCCTAGTGAGGGGCACATGAGCTCCAAGTCCTGCTGGATTAGAATTTGTGCATGGCCGCACGTTCAGTGGCACTGCCAGATGACTCTGTGGTGGAGCTCTGTGTGGCCACAGCAGGTCCAAAGCATGTTGCAGCCATTGTCTGGAACCAGGCACTTCCTCAAAACTGAGGTGGGGGTGTGCAGTCTGGAAGTTCATCTTATTTAAAAATGATTTCGGATTTGGACTGAGTCTTTTTCCTTCAGTTTGCCTGCATCAGCAGTCTTCCCGGGGATTCCTCATTACCAGGGCTCATGTGTGACCGTGCAGTGTGGCTGTGGGCACTGAGTGGGGCACTGCTCAGCCAAGCAGATTGCGTAATGGGGAGCGGGGCATAAGGGCCCCTTGTAACTGTGCCCTGCTTCTCTGGCTCTTCCAGTACCCACCCCCCCTGATTCCTCCCCGGGGAGAAGTCAATGCTGCGGATGCTTTTGACATTGGCTCATTTGATGAAGAAGATACTAAAGGCATTAAGGTACATATTGGACAGTTTTTGTTTCATTTTCTTTTTTATTTTATGTGTGAAGTTTTGGTTGGGAATTGGTTAACTTAGTGATTATCTTAGAATTGGGCTCTTTGTAAAATGTAGCTTACAAATGAATATCCCTATTTGAGACTCTGTAATTTAAAGTCCTAAATTAGAATCCTGCCTGGGCAACTCAGGGAGACCTTGCCTTAAAATGAAAAATAAAAAGAACGGGGATGTAGTTCAGTGGGAAGGTCCTGGGTTCAATTCTTGGTGCTAGGGGAAAAAAGAGAAAAAAGATCTAAATTAGCTGGAAACCGTGCAAGGTGTCATTGTACTAATAATTTTATTTTCAGTGAATTACAAAATGGTCCAATTTTTATTGATTTGGAATGTTGTGATTGAAAGAAAACTTGAAGATATATAGAGCATGGAAAAACAACTCTGATCTCAAATATATTACACCTAGTGCAAAAGAGCCAGTTATTTGATCCTTATAGGTACTTGGATCTCCTTGTGTCAGGATGAAAAATGCAGTCGGTATGAATCATTTTGCATTTGTCAATCAAACGTGAAATAATCACCGTTTTTTACATCATCCTCTGCATTTTTCAAACTTCTGTTCACATCATTATTTTTCCAAGTAGAGACAAGACATAATTACATGTGGTGAGTCATGAGAGAAAAATCACTGTCTTTAAAATGGTAAGACAAAGTGTATCACTACATGTCACACTGTCATCTGTCCCAGCCCTGACAGCTTCTTCTGGTGTCCCCACCAGCTTGAACCCCCATCTCTTCTCAGCTGCCTGCTATTATCCTCTTCTGCAGATCCCTGCATTTGTCCCACAAAGAACCTCCTCCCACCAAAGACTGCCATGTTGTGGTAACACTCACCTGTCAGGGGTAAAGAAAAGGAGGGCTGTAAAAGGCAAGGGCCCAGCAAAAGTTGTTGCTAGAAACGTCCAGGACACCACGTAGGCAGTTAGGGGAGAAGTGGCACAGAAATGCCAGGTGCTTGGGTGGGTGGCTGGGGAAAGGGACAGCAGCTGGGTAGGGCTGGTGGTGGCATCACGAAAGGAGGGCTGAGCCAGAAAGACCAGTGGAATAATCTCAGGAGCAGCATCCAGGACATGGGGCTGGGTCCGGGCAAAGTGGGGAGAGCTGAGGGAATAGGGCAGGGGTAGGGAGCTGCTGAGCAGCTCAGAGATACGTGTCATCTGGGACACAGCTGTCCCAGGGACAGCAGTGCCCAGACCTGGCATCACTGGTCATCGCAGCGTCAGTGGTCAGCAGCTGTCAGGAGTGCAAGGCCTGCAGTGCAGTGGGCTGTGGGGAGCAAGCCACTGCCAGCCGTTTAAGGGGTTGCTGCTGTTGTGACAGAACCTTGTCATCATATGTGCTGCTCCCCATCCAGGGGACCAGAAATAAAACTATTATGTGGGATCTCACCTCAGACCTGCCATTTGGCAGCAGGAACCTTTTGGGAGCCTAGGTTTTCCCACCTGTAAAGTGGGTGGTATTGTTGTCAAGCTCGCTGTCAGCATAAATGAGATGACCTAAGCACAGAGTCGGCGCTTGACAAACTGTCTACTACCCCTGTAGTTTGGGGGACAAGGACAGGTGGAGGTGGAAGTCAGAAGTAGCGGGGACACAGCTTTGACTGTGGAGGCCTGTGTTTGTTTATTGTGGAACTTAGGGGTGTTGTGCCACTGAGCTACATCCCTAGGGCGCTTTTCATTTTTTGACATAGGGTCTCACTGTGTTGCCCAGCTGGGGCCAAACTTACTATCCTGCCTCAGCCTCCTGAGAAGTTGACATTATAAGCATGAGCACCACATCCATCCAAGCTACATCTTACAAAACAATCTGTTCATTAACTTTGTTAGGCAACCCAAAGAATATGAAGGTAAATGTGGCTTGGGCCACACCCTTTCCTGATGTGCACCTGTGCATCTGCACCTGTGTGCCCAGCACAGGCACCTGCAGGCTTGATGTCTTCACCTCCCAGCACACACTCACTCCCACTCACACACTGGTCCCGATCACAGACCACAGCTCCAGAGGATCTCTGCTCTGGGCCTGCTTTGGAAAGGGGCAAAGTTCTGCCTGTCCAGTAGACCACAAGATGGGACCTTGTTATGCCAGACGGTCAGACTGGAGAGGGAACGGCCCTGGAGGGGTCAACAGGACAGTGGCTTCTTGTGCTCCCTGATTTGCTGAGGCACCAGGCAGGCACCACCTCCTGTGCTGTCTTTTCCTTCTGAATACCTCCCTTCAGCACCTGTGCCCCTCTGGCTGCTCTCCCAGACAGAAGACAGCGTGTGAAGGAGGACATCAAGTCTCTCAAGAGGCTGTGCTTCCAACAGGATGTATTTCTGTCAGCCTTCTGCCATCCTTCTGATGGCTAAAACAACTTTTTTTCCACTCATTTTCAAAGTGCAGTCTCACTAAAAGGGCAGAATGAAGACTCTTTGAAGAAGCTGAGTAATCATTGAAAAGAAAAATGCTATCATTAAATGTAATTTGTATTACGGCAATTTTTGGAAGCTACGTTGCCTAAATGCCATGTGTTTTCTGCCTTCTATTTATACACATGATTGTGGTGTTTATTTGGAAGATTCAGGGGACATTAAATTCAGCCTGGTTTACTTTGTGTTTTTCTAACTTTATAGATTAACTGGAGGTAGGTTGGAAAGCCCTCATATGATAAGCATATTGTAATAAGTACATAGTTGTTCCTAACACTATCACTATACAGACCTGTTTTCCTGTATTTATAAATAATATTTCCTGATGATAATTAAAATTTTATTTAGTTACCAGAATCTTTTACTACTTCAGTAAAACAATGTGTATGTTAGTTTTCACTGACAAAAATACTGTGAAGATGGAACAGAAGATGAGGCCCAGTCTACCTGACCCACATCGAGCAAGGTGCCAGTGACTTGTGACCCTAAATTCCAGTGGCCTGGGTCCTGGTCAGTGGAGATTGTCACTACTGAAAGCTCTCAGTGATTATGGGCTGTCTGCTAGCTGTCCTCCTGTGTATGGTTGTGATGGTTACCATGGGTGTAGTGCTGCTGACCTGTTGTCTTTGAAAATATGCTAAATCACAAATATTTTGATTTCCTAATAAGCTGCTTGATTGCGACCAAGAGCTCTACAGGAACTTCCCATTAGTCATCTCTGAGCGCTGGCAGCAGGAAGTGACGGAGACAGTGTATGAAGCAGTAAACACAGACACTGATAAAATTGAAGCCAGGAAGAGAGCAAAAAATAAGCAACTTGGCCATGAGGAAGGTAAAAAGAGCTAATGGGTCCTGATACCTTTTAAATGCAGTGAATTTTCACAATTTCTTATGAAGCTAAAAAGAAAATCACTTTGGTCATAAAGTATTTTCCAGCAGAGAAAAAAATGCTGATCATTATTTTAGTTATGTGTGGATTAGGAGAGTTCAGTTAATATTTCAAAGTCTTTAGTCAACATGTAAACAAAACTGTATTGAGCCAGCCAGGCTCCTTTCCTGAGTCACCATCAGAGAGTCCTGGGAGCTAGGTAGGAAGCTCGTTCCTTGTGGATGCAGTGAGGCAAAGTTGGGAACAGGGCTCACCTCGCTGCTGTGTGCCCTGTGCCGCCACTCAGGGCACAGGATGGATGTTCTGCTGTCACCGTCTTGAGTGACTCAGAGTGCAAGCAAGTGCAAGTTTTTGAAGATGGATTTGCACATTCACTTTGCACTGTGCCCCTGACATGGATAGGATCCTGGGGAGGAACTTGGCATGATCTGTCACTTTTCAGGAGGGAGACGTTTGAGTACATTTATGTTACAAAATGTGTTAAGGAGTAGCCGAAGAGAATTTCCAAATGGAAAACAACATCAAGTATCAAAAATCACTCATTCTTGAGTCACTAAATATTGTTACTCTTGGTTTGTGTAAGATTTATTTATTTTCATAAGATGTTTAAATTTACTATAGCTGATGATCAAGGTAAGGTGTCATCTCATTTTCCCTCTCAGCTAAGACTCTACAAAGGTGAGATAACATATGCATAAGAAGGACCAAAGACACTTGCATTCCATTTGGAGGTTACACTGGTGGAGCCTCTTGGTGTCGGAGCCTCTGGTCCTTCTTGACACTTTCCCAGGGGCATTTATCACCTGCCTCGAACAGCGGCTTCAGTTCTGGGAGAGTTACTCCTTGTGTGGTTGCTGCCAGAGTATAACAAGGGAGCACTGCACCCCTTTAACTGCACCCCATCCCAGTTCTAAGCCTTTATGTGCAAGCTCAGAGTACTTGTCCCTTGGGGTCTCCCTGGTATACGCTTGCCGTGACAAATGTCCCAGAAAACTTGTACTGGCAGTCATTTGCCATGATGGTCCTAGGATCCTGACAAATTAAATCTGGGAAAAATATGGATCCTAATGACTGCTAAAATGTATTCTTTAATTAGAGCTGTAATTAGATAGAACAAATGAGTGAACTGACGTTCATGTATTACTAAATAATATAGTAACTACTTTATATATATAACTAGACCTTGGTTGATGATTTCAGAAATTTTTCTACAGAAAAATCTAGTGTAGGCTTAGATCTCTGGGGGGAGGGAGAGAAGATACTTATATTTTAAATACTTTGGAAAGATAAGCATGATTCCAGATTGAAAATGGCAGTGCCTCATGGCATACCTGGTTCCCATGACCCGCCCTGCCCCGCTTTTTCCCGAGTACTCTACCCTCCTGTGACCTAGCATGGCTTTGCCTCTTTGCTTATTGTCTGAAGCTCACACTAGACTGTGAGCTCCATGAGGCCAGGATTCTGTCTTTTTTGTACATTGCTGAATCCAGAATATGCCCAGCACTTGGGCTTTTACAGACTACAGACTACATGTTGAATGAATGATGAATGAGTATGTCAGTGACCAACTGATTTTAATACAATCATAAAGCTTTCTGTGAAGGCTAAAGATTCATCTTTTTTTTAAGAGATAGTATCTCAAACAGGTAGCAGGATTCAACTTGAGCGTGACTTGTCTCTGTACACAGCTGTGTGTCTGAGGAACAAGCCTGCTCTATGGCTGAGGAATGAGCCATGTTTGACCTTGTATCCCCTGGGCTGACTGAGACCAGAAAGTCCCCACTGTAGTAGTATTTATGGCTTGAAAGAGTAAAGGGCCGATCTCTGTGCTCAGAAAGGGCAAAGGTACTTGGAGGGAGCTCAGATTTACTCTCTGTTCTTCATTATTTATGTACAGTAAAAATAAGTTAATTAAAATAAAATTTAAAAGGTTTGGAATGACATTGGACCTCTCCAAGGAATAAATGAGCATGGGAAATTCGTTGGAATCCTGAGGATCAGCCGTGTAACACGTTAGTGGAGAAGGAGTTGGAAACCTGAGTTCCGACGCTCAGTTCCGACACGTCTAAGAGTGGAAACGGTGGTTTCTGTAGCGTTACAGAGGGGTGGCCTTCCCGAAAGCCTGCCGTCCTGTGGACTGAGAAGGTCCGGCCGCGGTAACTCTCGCTCTCTCCGCCCTCAGATTACGCCCTGGGCAAGGACTGCATCATGCACGGGCACATGCTGAAGCTGGGCAACCCCTTCCTCACGCAGTGGCAGCGCCGCTACTTCTACCTCTTCCCGAACAGGCTTGAGTGGAGAGGAGAGGGCGAATCACGGGTGAGTCCTGGGCGCGCCCAGCGCAGCCCCCGGCAGGCTGGGCACGAGGTGACCTCCTGTGCCCGCGCGTTCTCCAGAGCACCCCTTAAGCCCTGTGTCTCACTGTGTATCACAAGATCGTAGCAGCCGTACTTTCACCGGAAGACATCAGGCCGTGTAGTCTCTGGAAACGGCAAGTGTCTTTGAGAGGAAACCCAGTCCAGGGCCCGAGCCCTCAGGTGGGCTGAGAGTTGGCAGGTCAAGCAGCGGACAGCTGAAAAGGGGGCCAGACGGGCTCCCATCCACACTTAATGCCCCCAGACGTGGAGCCCTCTCCACTGCCTCTCTGAGCCTGTTTCCTCTTGTGGGAAACCAGAGAGACAGAAATCAGGAGGGCTACTCTAATTTTTATATGTTTATCTGAGGCCAGGCACTGTAAAACACACACACACCAAAAAAATCCCACAAACTTACGTCTATTTAGTGCACTACAAAGGTCATAGCTGGACAGATGTGAGTGTGAAGGGATGGGGACCCAGTCTGCCGTGCACTCGGTCTCTCATGTCAGTCAGATGAAGTGTCACTCGTGATACTTGACAGGGAGGTGAGGTCACCAAACCATACCTCCCCCTCACCTGGTTGGAATTGTGTGGATGGGTTCCATAGGAGGACACAGCACCCTCTAGGGCCACTTCCAGAGCGCACGCTGATGAACAAGAGGGGAAATTTTCTAATTCTGGCTGTATCTACTGACAACTCAGGTGGTGTTACTAAGTGGCTACCGTGTTTGGAGCCTGGGCTGGTTCCCATGCAAGGAGCCAACCCTCAGGGAGGGCAGTTTGTCTACGCTGGGGAGGACAGTGGTCTCCAGTGTCAGGCACAGAGTTTGTGTACTAGGTGGTGGGAATACTGCCTATTATTTCTCTTGGAAGTCAAAAGTGATGAATGGATAAAGAAATGTGGTTTTTGTATATAATGGAGTACTACTCTGCCATAAAGAAAGCTAAGCTTGGGATATTTCTGGCTAAATAGATGCACCTTAGGACCATACTCTTAACTGAAATAAATCACACCATGTTTAAATACCACATTATTTCTCTGATGTGAGAAACAGAAAGTGTAAATAAGGACCAAAATGTACAATAGATACTGGGAAATGAGAAAGGGATCAAGGAGAGGGGAAGGGGAAAGGAAGGAAAAGATAAGAAAAAAAGAATAGAGGGAAAAATTTGGAAACAATGGTTTTGTAAATAAGGAGAAGGGTTGAGAGAGGGGAGACCGTAACCCACAGTACAAATTTCCCTGATTGTTAACATATATCTTAAAGATACCAAAAATAGATAAACACAAAAGTAGGGAAGTGCGAGGCCCAGATCCTGTGCTTTGGACTTGGTATTGTTTTCTAATCCCTGCAGGAGAAGTTGCCATTTTGGTGCAAATGATTGTGACTGTGTGTACCGCATTCCTTTAAAAAGCAACACGATCTTCTCAATATTACTTGAGCCATAAATGTCATTTTTAAAACATTAATGCCCAGACCCAGATAGGTCTGGGTCTGAGTTGCAATTACTAAGACTGTTTTTCAGGACTCCTGAGTTCTAACTCAAGTGCTAGTATATATTGCGGTAACTCCTCCAAGTTCAGTCTGTACCTGGTAATGAGTGGACCTGGGTGTATTACTCACTTACTGCGTTGTCTAAATTGTCCCACTTTTCAGGATAATTGGCAACTTAAAAAAAACTTTAATATCATGTTAGATACAGAAACTTTCCTTGGTTTTTAAAAGATCCGTCATTTAGTACATAGGTTTATTTGTTAAGTATAAACAAGTAAAAAAGAAAGCTTGAGAGTTTATGATGGTATTGTTTTTCATTTAGGATTCCTGGAGTATTTATCCAAAAAAACATAAAATGGTAAGGAACTCATGACATTATAGCATTTACTTCATGTAATAACACTGACAATCTTTGAAGTATGTCACCTGTATTTCGAGCATCATTTTGATATTATTAAAATATTCTTAGCTTACACAAAAGCATCACCAAGCATTTTCTGAGTTGCTAGGTTACAGCTGAGCCACACCCTGGGTTTGAGGGACTCGTCTGCAGCACGCACTGCCCCCTGCTGACCATATGAAGAACAGCTAGTGAGGGGGGACAAGGAGCTCCTACAAGTCCTAAAATCGCGCAGAACCAGTTTGTGAGGAGGGAACACTTTGCTCTTTTGCCCTCTAGTAGAAACATTGCTTTCTTTGTAGTTTTTTCTGGAATGTTATAATTTGAACTTTTCTACATGTTCCTTATAGCTTTTTTTTCCTCACTTGTAAAATATCAAAGAAAAAATGCCATTTTTAAATTTGTTCTGAGTTCTTGCTGTCATTACTTATATATAACTTAAGAAATCATGAAATCAACTTTAAATCACTTATAATTTTTACTTTTATGGTTAGCAAAATTTACTGACCATGGAACAGATTCTCTCTGTGGAAGAAACTCAGATTAAAGACAAAAAGTGCATCTTGTTTAGAATAAAAGGAGGGAAGCAGTTTATCTTGCAATGTGAGGTGAGTTTTTATTTTTATTTATTTGCTCTTTAGGTGAAAGTTATTTAGTTACATAAATATTCAGTGAGGCTGACAGTTTGGTAACAGCGTTTTCTTACTGTATCATTTATCATTTATAAATTCAGCAAGAAATCCCTGAGGTATAAGATTTTCAGCAAATTAATAGTTACGTTTTAAAGAAGCAATTGTTAAAAAACGGAAGGGAAAAGTATGTGAAATAACTAAGTTAGCTTACCATGAAGCTGTCAGTGTGACTTCTCGAAGGAAAATTACTTTATTTTCCTGAAAATCATGTTCGATAAGCTTGACCTTGGTCCTTGCTTTTGCCTGCACACACCCTGTCCTGGGGATGGAGCCCGGGAGCGCCCTGCCGCGGCCTCCCTTTATTTTTGAGACAGGTTCTCACTAATTTGTCCAGGCTGGGCTCGAACTTGTGACATTTTGCACGTTGTAGCCCCACTTGACACCTCTTTAATAATAACTTCATTACTATCTCACACATGCGGAGGTGCTTTTTACTTGGGTCAAAACTCTCCCAATATGTTATGTTATACAGTGTTTGCTTTAAAAATAAAAATTAATCTGTAATGAAATCCAAGGCAGAGATTCTCATCTGGAGGTTGTAGGGGGCTTGGGGGGCAGGGTCCAGCTGGAGGGTCCCTCCACTCTAGTCACCCCGCTTTGTTAGTCGTGACTGGATCTGTTGGCAAATGGATCAACATGTCGCAACTCTCATGTTTGTGTTTCCCTCCAGAGCGACCCAGAGTTTGCACAGTGGAAGAAGGAGCTAACTGAGACCTTCACAGAGGCCCAGCGCTTGCTGCGCCGAGCTCCCAAGTTCCTCAACAAGGCCCGCTCCGGTGTGGTGGAACTGTCCAAGCCACCGCTGTGTCACAGAAATAGCAATGGCCTCTGACCCCAGGGCCCCAGGGCTTCCAGGAGGCTGCACTGGGTCTGAGCCACAACCAGATCTGCCAAAGAGCTGGCTCTGGGATGGGACAGGCCCCAAGCTGAGCGTGGACCCTGGGCCGCTGATGTCCCTGCAGGAGTGGGACTGTCCTCCACTGTGCTAGCTTCGCACTGCTGCTGGACAGTGTCTGTCTACACTGGGAACTACTGAAGAAAGCACAGCTCTTTTTCTTTGGTACATACCTATTTTGGTATCTATGAACTTAGAACTTGAAATGATTCCTACTTACTACTTAAATTTTTAAGTCTAACATCAAACATACCTTAGACTTTGCAGGATGGAATTAAAACACTTCAGTGTCAGGGAGTAGGTTGCCTCGTGCGTAGCCATATGTTGCTCGTCCGGGTCTCTGCACCCAGCTCCTGGAGGAGGCAGGCAGCAGAGTTCCTGTGTATACTCCCCACACACACACACAAGCCACTCGGCATCATCCCAGGGGCGGAAGCTGACATGTCCTGACAGCAGCTCTGGGGACCTGCACCTGCGCCACCTGCCTCCAGGGTCTGTTCCAAGAGCTGCCCGCCGAGTGGGGCCATCACCCCTGTAAGGGGTGTGGGATGGGCTGTTACTGCAGGACAGGCGGCAGCATTCCAGAAGGAAAGCAGCTTGCCAGGCTCGCAGGCTCCAGTCACTGCTCACCGCGGTGATGAGCTGGCCGTGGCCCCACACCAGCAGCTTGGACACAGGCATTCCGTTTCCCTCTGTGTCACCCGGGAAATGTGTCAGCAGTGTGAAAGAAGGAAAAGAACTGCTCAGTTTCAGATTTGACTGTGTTATAAAATGGATTTTATTTTTAAAAACAGTGCTGAGGAGCGAATGTGTCCAATGGACTAGCTGGATGGACTTCTGTCAGCCATCACTAGTGAGTAACACTTTGCACTGGGCTTTTGCACAACCCTGAGGGCGTTTAAGTAGGATTCCCCCAGCCCCACTGGTGTTCCCTCCTAGAGTTTGATGTCCCCGCTGCTGCTGTGCTGGGGATGCCCCCAAGCAGATACTGGGCTCCCAGAACCAGTGAAGGCCCCCACGTCATCAGCTAAAACATAATCATAATTTTAAAAGTCCATGTATTTGTCCAGTTCTTGGTATGGTTTTATCATATGTTTTTAAATTAACTACTCACAGAAGAAATAAGTGAACCTCATCATTATTTGGATCCTGTCCTCAGTATTTTAATGGTTCCAAACCGTCATTTTTGTATTTGTGTGCTGCAGTCTCTGAGAAAGTATATACTTTTTACTGAAATTATATTGTAAGAGTTTGGAAAGTAATTTAATGTGAAGAGGTCTATTGTTTTATAGGGAAAGACATCTGGGTGTTACTCATTTCATCCAGCTGGGCTTCAGTGCGCGTACTTGTTCTGCTGTTTCCCGTGTTGGAGGAGGGCTGTATTGTGCGTGTGTTCCACCTGTTTAAAAGGGAAGCATAGTATTCAGATTCTGTTACACACACACACACACACACAGACAGGCACACACACGCGCGCCTATGCGTGCGTGCTTATGCCACCGGAAACAGGAAGGCCCTTGCTATTGTGTCTGCCTGGCCCACTTGGATCGGTTGCAGCCATAGCTGCTTTAGAGGTCTTGTGGGTCACAAGCTCAGGGGCTTCAACCTGCGGAGAGAGCTGAGCCTCAGACAAAAGGCCTCCTGTCGGGGGAGCTCTGGCACCACGAGGGACCAAAGAATTTAGAAAAATTACCCAGCCTTCCCATCCTTGCTGTCCACTAGAGCCAATTCACATCTCTTTCAAAACTTATGTTTGCTCTAGAGCAAAAAAAAAGAAGCATGAATTAGAAGATCCCCTGAGAGTCTTCTGCCCCAAGCTTATGCTTCATAAATTTACAACTCCTAGGAGACAGCTGCGAAGTCTCCCTGGGTGTCGCTTGTCAGAGCTCTGCAAGAGACTAGGATGAGCTGTCTCCCTCTCAGGGAATCTGGTACCGCAGCCCCGTCTTCCACCGAATCGTTTGTGACCAGCCGGGGTACTGCAGGGCCCACAGCCAGGCCAGTGGGTTGGATGTATTACTGTGCTTGACTTGTTAAGAGAAGTTTTCAGTGTTCACAAAATGAATTCCCAGATGTTTGGCCCATTACACATTTTGTATCATTGAAAAGTTCAAAAGTCAGCCCAAGTTTTCACGTGACAGTAGATTTCTACAGTTGGGATGTTTTAACCTTGTTAAGGAAAATAATCAAGGTTGATATTTTTATAATGTTATAACAAGACTTGATTTCACAACTCAAATGAATCAAAGCAAAAAGTAAAAATAGGTTACTTGAAGCTGCTATATAACATATATGGAATAAATGAAGTTTATATGAATCCTAGTTCATTCTTTTTCTTCTTTTTTTCTTCATCTTTTTTGTTTTGTTTTGTTTTGCTTATTGTTGTCGTTTTGATAGAATGAGAGATTTGAATCAGTGTTTTTACTCTGAACTCTTGATTTTTTGAGACAGGGTCTAAGTCACTAAGTTGCCCGGGCTGAGCTCAAACCCATGGTCCCGCTGCGTCAGCCTCCCAGAGTGCTGGGCTGACAGGTGTGCACCAGCACGCCCGGCTGTATAATCATTTTAATTGAAAGTGGAGGAATATTGAACGGCACCAGAGAGATGGCAAGCAAAAAACAAAACCCCACCATTTAGGAAAAAGAAACCCAAAAATATGACCCTGGTATTCGAGTCTTTTCTATGCTACAGATTCCACAGGAGGCAACTGAATACTGTAATTGAATTGTGTTTACTGACATATTTTGGGGTCTTGTTGAGAAAACTTGAGCCCAATTCCGAGTGATGTGTTGTCCTTCAGTATTACCACTGACCCCCAGGGACAGGGAGGGAACCACCAGTGGGACAGTCTTGCAATTTGCCTTTCAAATGTTGCTTATATTTATAATTAAACATGCCTGAACCCTGCATTCTAAGCAGGCCATCCCGATAGTTGAAAGACCAGATATGGTCACCTAGAGAGTATATTTGTGAATCAGTACGTTCTACTTGGAAAAGCATATCCACTTTATTTTCAAAAGATTCAGTTTATGTTTAAAAGGCAGAACAGTAGCTCCATTAGACAGGGATTTGTGTCACTTAACACTTGGCACTTGGGCAACAGTCACCAAGTACTGCTGAGTTGCGTATGGAGGAGCGTGTTATTTGTGGGCATTTGAATGTATTTGAGGAAAGTAATAAGGGGAACCCATTGATTTATAGTTGGCAGCTTTAAAAAAAGTTGGCAGTTTAAGTACATGGGAACATTTTGCTACTTTTTTCTACAAAGAAAAAATTGAGAGCACTCTTGACTTTTCTGATTGTTTCAAGTGTGATATTTTGTTCAGGGCACCATAATCAGAAGAGTCTGGAGTAAGTTACCTGAGGCCATCTGCTTTTCCTGAAAGGAGACACATTTTCCTCTCACTTTAAACTACCTTTAAATAGGCCTGAAACCGTGTATGAGAGCTTTTGATTGCATATTCTAGACAGAGTGGTATTTTTGGAGGGGGCAGCGATTTAAATATACCTGAAAGGTTATGCTTGAAAATAATGTATTTGCTTTGATTATATGTTAATAAATTTAGGTTTGCAATCTGAACCTTTCTAATAAGAAATAGAACAAATCATTTAGGTCCCTACATTGTAACCCAGATAACCCCTTCCCAGAATAGCCCGGGAATGATAGAGAGGAAGTTGCAATGTGATTATGGTAACGCTTTTCCAGAAACCTAAAAAAAAAAAATCATTCGGAAAGAAAAAATGAAGGTCACTAAAACTTCTTAAACATTTGCTCATTTGTACAGTCATTTATTTCTAACATTAAACTTAAGATGATGTATTTTAGTAATTTTACTCATGTGAAAAATCAGAATTCAGTTTCATTGTCTTCCATATGATTTTTCATAGCTAAGTGTATAAGTAGAGGAAATTGTTGCTTTTCTAAGATAAATGGAAATTATGCTGTGGCAAGGCCATTCTCGTTTCGTTGGGCTACTTGTCGTTTATAAATTAGGTGAAGAAAGCTGGGTGTTTGTGGGTTTTGTTTCTGTTTTTGCTTTAAGTTTCAGTTGCGTGGGCTGGTTTTGAGCTTGTGATTCTCAGCCTCAGGGCCAGGTTTATTCTCAACCTGAAACCTGCTCTCTGATGCATTTTTCACTTGTGTCCCCAGGCCTGTTTTCTTTTTCCTTCTTGATCATGTCCAAATACAGTTTTTCAGCAAAGCCTCTGGGCATTATGGAAAGTGCCTTGCCTAATATCTGGCAAGATTTAGCTTAATCCACAGTTTGACAAATCTCATAAGACGGGCCCCACTGCCAATTAAAAATACTGTTCACCATTTCAAAATGTGCTCACAGATCAACGTATGGGATTTTTCTTGATATTTAAATTTCACTCAGAATTTGCAGTGGAGCCAAAACAACATTTGATCTTCCATTGGAATTGGTTTTGTAATGAATGTTTCATATTTTTAACACACATCAAGAAAAAACCAAAAGTTCAAAGCATGACCTTTTCCCTGTGCTATAAATCCATAAATTTGCTTTGAATGAAGTGTGTTTTAAATAAGCCTTACTTCATGTGATTGAACCCCACAGTTCTTTGCTCCGTCGTGTTCAGGGACCTGCCTGTGTCACTCAAGGACACTGGCTGCGTCCCCCCGCCCCCTGCGAGGGACTCAGTACTGTTGGCAGGAGAGGTGCTGGGCTCCATTGGGATCCCAGACAGCTGGGGCCCGGGGTGTTGCAGAAAGCAGCTGGGCAGAGGGAGAGGGGAGTGGATTGACTGGTAAAGTCATCCCCTTATACCACAGAGCACCGAGGAATTGACAGCTGGTGGCACAGTCCTTTCAATGACAAGAATGATTCCTGGGGCACGTGGGCACTGCATTTGTGAGGCTGGAGCTGCTGACCTGACGATGCTGTTCGCCTCCCAACAGGACTTTGTGCGGGAGCCACATGGCATCTGCACCTCCTCCTGCTCTGTTGTTGAAGGCACAGGGTCCCTGAGGTGTCCCGGGGGCTGGAATGCATGACCTGGCCAGTCACTGGGGGACCTCGTTAATGGACACTTTGAAGCTCCAGTAAAACCTGGGTGACATGGCCAGACAGTCTCACTGCTTATGCCTCACTGGGCCCAACAATGGCAGCAGCAGTTTAAATTTTTTTTAACTTTTTTTTTTTTTTTTTGGTCAGTACCAGGCATCGAACTCACGACTGGGTGCTTGCAAGGCAGGCGTTTATGCCGCTGAGCTAAATCCCCAGCCCCCAGCAGTTTAAATTTTTAAAGCTGCTTTTTTCTTGAAACTGTTAACTCCATATTGATATAAATTATCCAAGCCACATTTTTAAAAATTTTTGCTATGGAATGAATAAATGAAAGTTGAAATCTACTCCTCGGTTTCCTCGTGGCAGAGTGGGCTTCAGATTTCCGTGTCCTTTTCCAGGAGGGTGACTGGGTGCTCCCTCCTGCAGGTCCACAGGTGGCCAGACACACCATGGCCGTGGCAATGTTGACTCAAAAAGGCAAGACCCCAAATTTTAAATTGCCTTTATTAAAAACAAAAGTCTACAGAAAGTATATTTAAAAGGTATGCATTTCATCCAGAACAGGCAGGAAAAAAAATCTTTACTTTTGGAGTCAAGTATCATTCATGGAACTAGCACTCCAGGACCTAACAGTTTTAAAATCACCTCTGCAAACTACTGTCTCTATTTTTTATTCTGCCCTAAATCCAAAATGATTTTGTTGTCAGGATAAGGAACCAAGAAATATTCCCAATTGTGTGTTCATATTACAAAGGACTTGAAATTTAATATCTTTTTTGTTGATTATGTTCCAGGCTGCATATATTAAATGTGGTTTATAAGATAAACACTGGCCATTTATTTAAATCATTTTTCTGTGCTTTTAAGTATTTGGAAAAGATTTGGCTTATTCTTTGGTAACAAGGGTGGCTGAACCACATGTATATGGGATCTTTAATATGGAAATTTTTTTCTGTCCTTTTGAGACAAGGTCTCTCTATGCAGTTCAGGCTGACCTTGAGCTCACTGTGTAGTCCAGGCTGGTCTTGAATTTGCAATGATCCTCCTGACTCAGCCTCCCAGAGTGGTGAGATTACAGGCTTGGGCCACCACACCTGGCTAGCATGGAAACTTTCTATATTATCGAATCCATAGGTTTGGTTCATCAGAAACATTCCACATACTTTTTATTTGTTGTTTGTTTGTTTCTGGTACTAGGGATGAAACTCATGACTTCGAGCTTAGCAGGCAAGCACTTGAGCCACTGAGCTCAATCCCCAGCCCCTCTCTTTTTATTTGTATAGTTTGTTATTTAAAGAAATTTCTATCTTTCCTGTATTTCATGCAATAAAACTAAAATACTATCAATAGTAGTGTTGCAAATCTGCCTAGGTTTCAGTTGGAAATGACATCATAAATTGTAAGGTGCAGCTCTGCTGGCAGTCCTGACGGCACCAGATGACACCGAGTACTGCTGGCTGCCGACAGCTGACACTGAGCTGCTGGTCACTGCCAGTACCAGCCACACTGTCTGATGCTCGATGTGCCTGACACCAAGGTCAAGTCCGGTGAACAGTCTCCACTTCTGGTCTCCGGAGCTCTTTAGTGCTGAAAGTTCTGAGTGTTTGTTGCTCTTTCTTTTGAAATGACTGCTCTGTCCTCTCAGGATGAAAAATCCCAAATAGATTTATGGGACTTTTGCTGCCTACACTACTCAAGAAGTAAATCACAAGCGGGTCTCCAGGAACACCAAAGCGAGTCTTCATCTGCCACTGGCAAAGCCTCATACCCTCTCCACCTGTGCAAGGGAAAAGTGGGAACCGAGGGTTTCTAATCTTTCTCATTTCACCCTCAGAGATTTCATCTTCCTTAATCTTAGGGGAGCTGACAGGTGAAGCTGCATCTTCTGTAACTGCTTTAAAGCTGACCTGGGACCGTTGGACCCAGAGAAATAAAAATCTCTGGCTATTCCAGTGATACCATATTTCCCTGAAAATAAGACATAACTACAAAATAAGCCTTGGCACGATTTTTCAGGATGCTTGTAATATAAACCCTACCCCAAAGTAAGCCCCAGTCAAGATGTTCAGCCTGATGGGTGCATCTAGTCCATCTGCTGCAACATGTGATGGATGTATTGAATTATAGTATCAGTATATAATTAATATAAATTATTGACAATACTTCAAATAATACAACCTATATTTGTAAATACCTAAGCGGTGCTTTTGAAGAACAGGTATATGCCTATGTAAAGAGGTGAACTCAAGGTTTATTGCCAAATGGCCAGACAAGAAGAGTACAGACACAGCACACACACACCGTGTGCACTTGGTGACAAATGGACGTGCTTGTGTCTAATCTGGATCTTCGTAATTCAGTATGCCGTGTGCTGTAATGGGTGTACCTAGTGTACTCATATGAAATAAATGTTTTTGAATTTTGGCGGCTAGTGTTTTTCATTCTTTTGTGTGGATCATCATTCTTACCTGACGTCATTTTTTATTGCACTCCTGTCTCTTAAGTCCTCAATGTACACTTAATTTCATGGATACGTTGGGAAGCCCAGCTTGCAAGTGGTTGTGACTTGGGCGAAGAATTCGTGGAATAAAGTCACTGACAGCTTTGTGGCCAATGCACTGCAACCAGGTACATGGACCAGAGGCACCATTTTGTGGGACAGGACACCGAGGCTCAGGAGAGCTTAGGCTTCCTGGTCAAAATCAGAGTGATGGAGTGAAGGCTGAACAAAGGGCCTGTCTGCCTCCAGATTTTCTCTGTGTCTCCTCCACAAGGCTGCCTGCCTGGCCTAGGCCCAGGAGCATTTGGGGTGCTCACATTGCTGCTCCCTCCTAGCTACACCCTTCCAGCTACACCCAGTCTCCATCCAATCCTTCGGCTCCCATGCAGCCCTCGGTATGGAAGGTTGTCCTGCTATGCAGCATGGAGGAGAGCTCAGAATCAAAGCTACAGGTGACCAGTATTCTTAGTTCACCTGCCCCCTGACTCAGTTTTCTCATCTGTAAAATGGGCTCATAATATTGTCTGCCTCCCAGCATTCTTGTAAGACTTCCCTTATTTGGTCTGAATATTGAAAGCTCTACTGTTCTTGTTATTCTTGTTTTTATGGGTGGGAAATCCAGCATTTGGAGGAGTTGCCCTGCACAATTTAGGAGGGAAGGCTTCTTGGGCTGGTCTTTATTCCTCCCCATCCCTGTGGTCCTGCAACTCTAGAAGACATGTGCTCCTCCCCAGAAATCAGGCTTTCCACCACCCCACATTGCTTCTCAGAATGACAATAGAGCTCAACCAAAACAGCCCCCAAGATGCGTGGTAATTGCATGGTCACGCTGCCTGGTGTTTTTCTCCAAAAGCAGTAGGGTGCTTAATTGTTTGTCTTCCAAAGGATTTGCCAGCTGCTTCTTATTGACCTTAATTGTCTGAGTTAACCCCCAGACATTTTCTCCTTGAGTTTTTGATTTAAAGTAACTCAACTCATGGGAAGTTATAAATGCCATACTGAGAGTCCCATGGACCCTCCATGGTGTCCCCTGGTGTTGGCATCATTCAGGGTTACAACACATTCACAGCCAGATTGCTGACACAGTGTGTTACTGTCACCTGAGCTACAAGCCGGCCTTCAGAGCTGCACTTAGCTGCCTGCCACACACAGCTGATGCAGGGTCAGTGTGTTGGTTGCTGCTGTTAACACAGTTCCTTCTCATCCTCGTGGTTTATGGTGAAGTCCCTATTTGCTGGCCAAAGAAATTTCCTGGACTGGATGGGCCTCAGTTTATCTAACAGTTTTCCTGTGAGCATTCATATGGTTTCCTGCTGTTTGGGGATCATAAATAGCAGGACCCAGCCTGTCTTTGTGCACAGACGGCTGTGTACACAGGCGAGCATTTGGGAGTGTGGGTCCCTGCAGAAGGACCACTAGATAAAGCCTGCATCTGGTGTTCAGCACTCCTGTGCACACCGCCCAGTTCCCTGAGTGCTCCTGAGGGTGGGCCAGCACATCAAGCCCTCACACGCCTGTGGTAAGTGCTGTGCTGTCATGTCTGTAGAGAGGTGAAGTCACAAACTCATATCATACAAGTTGAAGTGGCATAGAGCTAGATCTCCTGCCTGGTCTGTGCTGTCACTGAGGCCAGGGGCAGGCTTCTGTTTCCCTCAGAGACACCGGGCCAGCCCCCATGCTCAGCACTCTGTCACCATCCCGAGGGGCTCCCTTCCTCCCCGTCCCCTTCCCAGAGGCCCTGGACCAGTGTGAGCCAGCTTCACCCTGAGTCAGGAGGAGTGCGGAGTCCAGGCCTTACCTTCCCCAAGGCAGCTGATGCCCTGGGGCCCGGGCCGACAGTGGGCCCAGCTGTGCTCACTCTTCAGGCTCTGAACTAAAGCGCAGCCAGAGCTCTCAAGTCAGGAGGTGCAGGACGGCGGGGTCCAGGCTGGATGGCTTCCCTGTGCAGGGGGCCTGGGGTGCAGGCTCTGGGCCCAAGTGCAGGCTAGCCCAGGCTTGTTGGTAGTAACTCTGCCATGTATCTGTTCAAGGCAGAGTCTCCGCCTCTCCCAAGAGCCTCCTAAAGGGCTGGACGATGAGTGCTTGAAAGGGCTTGGACTGGGCAAGTCTGAGCTAGTCAATGTACAGGGCCGGTCCAGTGCCCAGAGAGGGAAAGAGACGAGCCCGAGGTCACACAGCAAGGCCATGGGGGAGGAGAGCTCTCCTGACTCCTGCTCCAGGACTCTGCATCTCACTTGGTTCCCCCCACATCCTTTGTCCCTTCTCCCTTAGTTTCTGCTCTTCCACCTCCCTCCCTCTCCTCTTTTTCTCCCTCCCCTTCTTTCCCTCCTTCCCTCTTTCCTTCTCCCCTGTCCTACTGGTTTCAGCATTCCCTGAAACAGGTGCTATTATCCCATTTTACAGGTGAAGAAACTAGGGCTTGGGGTGCACAGCTTGTGATGGGGTGCACTAGGGCTTTCTAGGATTTCCTACTCGCCCTGATCACCAGAGACTCCACCAACTTCCTACTGGAGGAGAGATAGCGAAGGGTCCACTGGTCTGAGACAAAGCGTAACAATGCTAGTAATGACAATGACGACGACTGTGGAATTGTTATCTGCTTATAGTCATTGAGAAGTCAGTCTCTGCTAGATGTGATTTAGCAGAGACTGAGATTTATCCTCAACCCTGTGCAGTAGGCTGTACCCATTCTGTGAATGGGTAAATAGAGTTCCAGAGAAGTGAAGTGCATTACGTAAGGTCAGGGACATAGGAAGGAAGAAGCCCAGTGTGGGAGCAGGAGGCCCTGTCTTTAAAGCCTGTACCATATGCTTTACACCCTACTGGGTTGCTTGGTCCTCGGGGTTGTAATGGGTAGAATTAGCAGTCGTGCCTTTCTGCAGGGTGGTGGCATTGCTGAGACTCGGTGCTGAGCACCAGGTCTGAGGCATGGTGAGGACTCAGATGGGCTGGCTGTGACTGGCCGTCCTCAGGCCACAGGCTTCAGCCTCCAGGGGACAGGTCGATAGGTCGGGTGACCCTTACTGTAGTGAGACCGTTTGAGCACGGAAGGAGCACCGGCCTGGGGCCAGCCGGGCCTGGCTTTGGCGCTGGCTTCTCCCTTGCTAGCTGTGGGGCCTCCGGCCAGTCACTCACGGCCTTTCTGTGGTCTCACTTGGTGCCTTTGACCCTGCAGTTACCCCGTGGGACACCTTCAGGTGAGGTCTCTCTGACCACGCTGCTCCTCAGCTTGGGGACACTACCTGGAAGCTTCCCATCCAATGACCTGTTTCATCCCTAAAGTGTCCCGGTGGGGATGAGCCATTCCACTGTACAGCTGAGGAAGCTGGGGCTCACAGGGGCGATGCCTTCCCCTGGAGATTTCACGGCCTGACTGAGGCTATCTTCGGGTTTCACCTTCTGGTTCCTCCAGCTGTCCCCCTCTTCCACCCCACAGAGGCCTCGTGGTGCCCTTTTCCCTCTGCTGCTGGATCCAGTTAGTGTGGGACACCTCCACACCCAGCTCCTTCCTCTTGTAAATTCCCGCCACGTTGACAGGGTCGAGCCTCTGAGGAGTCCTGGAGGAAGCCAGCCTGCCCGAGCGTGCGGTCGCCCCACCCGATTTGCCCTTAGAGCCTTCTTCTCCCAGGACGTGTGCTTGTGGCCTGCAGAGCGCTGGGAGGGTCTGTTGCTGGCTTTCCAGCTGTTGGGGAGTGGGCATGGCTGCTGTTGAGCTGTGAAGAACTCAGCCGTGATTCATGGATGCCCACAGGTCGGGCCTTAGAGGAAGCACTCAGTTCCAGACGGCCGAGGCTGAGGTGCTATGGGAACTCTCTCCGAGCCAGGCAGGGGAGCAGTCGGTGCAGATGGGGTGCTGTGTGGAGCCCCAGGACAGCGGACCAGGTAGGAGCCATGAGAAGCGGTTTTGCTCCTCTGGGCTTTTCTGCATTTCTCTCCCTGCAGGTGGCCCCAGGCTTTTCGGCTCTTTCCTCTAGGCGGCCTCTGTCTTCACAGGGCCTGGACTGTAAATCTCTGGGTGAGGAAATGGGAACCAGATGTGCCAGTGTTATAAACTCTCATAATGCTGAGTAATTTGGCAACAGCACAGCTATTGTTGGAAAAAATACATGGCTATTAATAAATGCAGGAGGCCACAGTACTTGATAGCAATTGAACTCATGATGCAAAAGGAAAGCAACTAATCTCTCTCTCTCTCTCTCTCTCTCTCTCTCTCTCTCTCTCTCTCAACTGAGCAACAAGGGAAAACTTACCTTTACAGGTGAATTTGAACATCGCAGATTCTAAAGTTCCATAACTCTCTTGCTCTTTTTTTTCCCTCTCATTTCTTCCTTGTTCAAGTCTATTCAGATCCTATCCTGCCTCTTAGAAATCCTGGCTCTGCTACTCACTTCCTGTCAGGGGCCAGGCTGTGTAAAGAAATGGTGGGAAGCCAAGACGCTGTCCTGGTTTATGTCAGTGGCACCCTCCAAGCCTCATACAATCATGGACACAGCCAAATCTATGTTTGCGATTGGTTCATTGTCTAGCATTTGGATTGGCAGTGTGAGTGCTGCACCCACCCAGGGGTGGAGCCAGTATACAGTGTAAGGATGGCAAGAAGGCTTGTTATTCTCTTTTGCTATTCACCTTGCTTTCTTACAGAGGCCCAGCCATACCACCCTGCCACTTGGAGCCAACTAGTATGCACTACAATCTCCCATCTGTAAGAAATAAACATTCCCTTGCCTAACTTTGGGCATCAGGCATTTTGTCTCAACAAGGAGAGAGAAAAGTAACCAAGACAGATGCAGACCTAGGGCTGCATCTTGATGGCCATGTTGGCTTGCTCTGGGAAACAAAAGTATGCAGAAGGCTGTGTGCTCTCTGGCCGTGCAGGGAAGGCTCATAGTCACAGTACTCCCAGGACAACACATCTACTGAGGAAAATGAAGAATGCTACTCCTCTATTAAGCTGTGCAGATACAGGAGAGGGATTGGCCCCCACCCTTTTAACTTGTTCCCTTGTAAAGTTTAACCTGTTCCTTATTTTTCCAAATCTCTTTCAACTGTTTCATGAATAATGCATAATCCCTTCCCCCGTGCTTCATACTGGCTAATAAAAACGGATGAACCAACAGATCTTTGAGCATGTTCACTAGAAGCAAGTCCTTCCCTGCCCTCTTGCACCTTAAAATTTGTCTTTCTTTTATTCCCTGTTGCTCCCCATCTACCCACAAGTACCCAGGAGTCTGATGAGCCCTGGCAACCTCCTGTACCCCTTTAGGAAAGAAATTCCACCTTGCTGGGTGTGTTTCCTGCATGTTTACCTTGAGAGGTTTTGTGAGTTGGTAGGAGGAGCCATGGGAAGCCTTTACTTAGCAGTGTCTGGAACATCAATCACGTACGGTAATGGCTTTGTGAGTAGAAGGACCAAACATTCTCCAGGACACTGTTCCCTTGTACATCCAAGTCCCTCACCTCAGTGGCATCTGAGGTCTACCGTGATGTCCCTGGTTCTGAAGTAGGCTGGTGACAGATGCTGTGCCCTCCTTTCAGGGGAAAGGAAAGGGCCTCAGTTAAGAATCGCCACATCCAAGTGCCCCACCCGCTGCAGGATCCCTTGGCCATGGTCTTTTTCCTGATTATGGACCCGATTCTAGAGAGTGTCCTGCAGACACCAGAGTAGGACAACCCCCTGTGAGTGAAGGGTGCCCTCCTTGGGTCTGCAGGTGGTCAATCTTGACTCTGGCAAGCTTGTCTCAAGACCAGGCATTTAGCTGAGTATTTCCCGTGGAACCATCTCAGCAGTCCTCACAACTCTATGAACAGCTCTTGGAGGTTTTATGATTTCATTTAACAGATGGATAAACTGAGTCTCAGTAAGACTATGTGATTGGCTGAAAGACTGAGAGATGGGCATGTTTGTTCCATTGCCCATGTTCTAGCCCGTTCCGCCTCCCACTGCCTTGTGTGGCATCTCAGGGGTTTTGGCCTCCCTTAGGAAGACTTTGGCCACTGCTTCTGCCTCAGCAAATACAGAGGACTGTGGAGTGGGATTTTGTGTGCTAGCCACGCTTTGGAGGACCAGGGCAGAGGATACATGCTCCTGCTCTGGTCTCCCGAGTACCATCTTAGATTCATGAGCAGGGTGCCTCTCAGCAGCTCTCAGCTGTCCCCCTAATGCAGACAGGATTTAGGGGGTCTACCTGCGCCCCTTCTTGTAAAAAGCAATGGCCAATTCCCTTCCTGATTTTCCTGGGCGTTAGGGAGGTCAGGAAGGTGATGGTGGGTAGGATATTTTACAGAACAGCTGTGGAGAGTGGTGGACAGGAGAGAAACAGGAAACACCCGCCTAGAGAGTGACTTCCTATTTTGTTTTCTGTCCCCGCTAGGAAGAGGGTGGTCTCGTTCAGTGGTAACAGCCCTCAAGGCCTCTCCCTAGTAACTTCTAACAGAGAGAGGACTTCAAGCTCACAGGTAATGCATCTAATTAGAATCTAGTGAATTCTGGTGCTTATTTGTGTCTGTTTTCCAGACACAAACTGTGATAATGGATTCACAGTTAAGACAGTGCAATAATATTTCCTTGAACAATGTATTTATTTTCAAAAAAGAGATAAATGAGTCCATTTAGAAGAAAGCATGTCTGGGATCATAAGGATATGATGAATTTCCTAAAGATGCTATTTGAGGAACTGACTTCAGTGAAAGAACAGTTCTCATTTAGCACAGTCTGTTCACTGGCGCCTTCTCCAAGTCTGTTTTCTCACACACAGTGTACAAATGGTGACAGTAACAATAACAAACATTTACAATGATCATTTATGACATGAAAGAGGCTCAGTACATGATCACTGTGAATTTGTTTCTTTACAGTTCTGGAGCTTGGCAGTTCCAGATCTATGAGCCAGCAAAGTAGGTGTCATTCTGAGGCCTCTCCTCTGGGCAACTGTCATCTCTGCATGTTCACCTGATCTTTTCTTTGTGCAGATGTACAGAGGTAAATAAGTGAGCTGCATGGAATCACCTTTTGGGGGGATCCTGGGAATTGAACCCAGTGGTGCTCTACACTGAACTACATTCCCAGCCCTTTTCATATTTTATTTTGCAACAGGGTCTCACTAAGTTGTCCACATAGGACTTGAACTTGCAGTCTTCCTACCTCAGCCTCCTTCTGGGCTGGAATTACAGCTGTAACTGAGGGAAGAAATGGAGGGGGATGCATCTCAAAGTGTCTGCTCTGCCATGTGCCCAGGATGGGGAGAGGCTGAGTCTGGGCTGACCAGTGGGGTGAGGGGATAGAGAACTCAAGGAAAAGGTTTGCTCTTTGAACTCTGAAATAACCTTAAATCATAAGAAGGGCCTGACTTCTCAAATTTGCCATGCTGGGGAGGAAAATCAGAGATCTTACCAATTAAGGGAAACACTTTTTCTAAACTTTTTTTTTTATTGGTACCAGGGATCGAAATCACGATTGCACACTTGCAAGGCAGGCACTTATGCTGCTGAGCTAAATCCCCAGCCCTGGGAAACACTTTTTAAATTTTTTTTATTTTTTACCCTGAATTACTCAAGGATGCTGTGAATTTTTATGCTCAATTCCTTTCAGGTAAAGACAGAGATACTAGAAAGGACAACCTTGGCCCAAGAGAAAGTGATCAGTCACTTGGTCCATGGGAGACCTGGTGTGGTGTGGGTTTCAGAATGTGGCACTCTGGCTGGCTGCACTCCACTGGCTCCTGCTGCACAATGGGCTCCTGACTCAGTTGCACACCTGGCACAGCCTCTGCATGCCCAGCTGCTTCAGGACTCAGCATATGGTAAGTCATCAGAAGGCTGTGGGGACAGCTTAGAGTAGCTGGTCTACATCTCCAGGACTGAGTGTCCTGACAGGTGAAAAATCCCCCTTTTGGAAAATCTTTTGGAGAAGCCATTCAAGAGTAGAAACTTAGAATCCTCCTGCCTCAGCCTCCTAGAGTGCTGGGATTATACATGTGACCACCACATCCAACCAACCCTACTCTTTCAGTATCCCTTCAAGGGACTTAGTTCATGGCCACTGTTCTACCCAAAATGAATCAGCTTACCTACCGATTGCCTACCAAAGCCCAGTCTTGTACCTCCATGCATTTGTTTGAAATTTGTTCACTTCTAATGGCTTCTCTGTGCCTCCAAGCATCTATCTCTATGAGACCAGTTTTCTTCATCTCAGCCAAGACAACATATGGCAACACATAGAACGCAGAGGCAGACTCAAGTAAACAACTGCCTTGTGTTAAGTCAGACATTACATTTTTCGAGATTTAAAACGTTTCATTTTTGCAGAGGCAGACTCAAGTAAACAACTGCCTTGTGTTAAGTCAGACATTACATTTTTCGAGATTTAAAACAATAGTTTCATTTTTGTAATTTTTGAAAAAAAAATTTACATGATTTTGTAGTACCAGGTACAGTTTAATACACATTTTACATACTGTTCAGTTTTAATTAATTTGGTGAATATTGTGGTATATTATCTACTTACAGTAAAAGCTTTTGGGATCAGTAACTTCTCAAAGTATGAAAGAATCCTGAGACCAAAAACTTTGAGAGCCGCTGAGCTAGAAACGTATTTACACAAAAGGTAAGCAGAGATTTTGCCCAAGTGGTGAGATGTCTGACAATCTACTTCTCACTGTATGTTCCCCCCACCTTCGGTACTAAGGTTGAACCCAGGGCCTTCGCAGTGGGCTACATCCCTAGCCCTTCTATTTTGAGACAAGGTCTCTCTCGCTAAGGCGCTCTGTTGCCCAGGCTGGGCTTGAATTTGCGGTCTTCTTGTTTCAGTCTCAAACTTTTACGTTTGGCAAAGGCAGACCCTCCGGTTGTGTCGGGGTCTGCGCACAGCACTGGGCATGGCCGAGGCGCAGGAGCAGCGGCTGCAGCTGCAGAAGGACAACCGTGACGGCCGCCTGCGGAAGCAAGAGCTAGAGGAGCTGGTGCGCGGGCTGGAGGCCGAGAGCGAGAGCCTCGCCGGACGCCTGCACGAACTGCGCGAGCAGGAGCGCAGGTGCGCGGGGAGCGCCGCTCGGCGGAGCTGTAGGACTCGCGGGCGGCAGCCGAAGGCGACAGGGCCGCCTCGCCGGGCCCGCACGTTCCACCGAGGCTGCTGGACACTCGGACGACCCTGTCAGACGTCCGGGGAAAGGAAGGGGGGCGCCTGGCACGTCCCGAACCTGGCGAGTTCTGCTCCAACCCCGACCGCGCCGGTCCTTCCCGGGGAGACAGAAGTCGCAGGATCCTGAGGGCCCCGCGCCCTGGCTGTAGCACCGGCTTCAGTTTCCCTCCGCAGCCTACAGCGGAGGCGAAGTCAAGCGGCACCAGCCCTAAGAGCGGAGGCGCGCGAGGCGGTGAGGGAGCGCGCGGAGAGGGTGCAGAAACAGCTGGAGGCTGCGGAAAGGCGCAAAATGGAGCTGGTGAGGGGCGGGGCCGGCCGGCGGGGCGGGGCCAGCGGGCGGGCGGGGCGGGGCCTGGGTGAGGCGGAACCGGCGGAGAGCCCGGACCCCTCCCTCGCTCCTGTTCCTCAGGAGCAATGCAACCGGCAACTGCAGGAACAGTGGGAGGAGCTGTCAAGTCAGGTACCGCAAGGATGGGACGGTCTCTCTCTGGGTTCCTCGCGGAGGTTCCGCTCTGGTCCCAGTCCCCTAATACCCTTCTTTAGAACCAGTACGCACCCCCCCTCACAAGCCCCTCCCCCAGCTCTTTTACTATGGCGGGGAACAACTGAGTCAGCAGCGCGCAGAGCAGCAAGTGGGGACCCACCTGGTGGAGCTGCAGGTGCTTGGGCGGGGCCTGAAGGGTGGGACCTGAAGGGCGAGGCGGGGCCACGACCCCTGGGGGCTGGTGTGGGCGGGGCCCTGAGACACCTGTTGGCTGCGGGCGAGCGAGTCCCTGACTTTTCTTGGCTCCTCGCGTAGAAACAGCTGGAGCTGGTGGAGGCCAAGCACGCCATGCAGGCGGAGGGCCTGCGGCAGGTGCGAGTGGACGCGGGACCCTGGGGAGAGGCGCCTTCAGGTGTGAAGGAGCCTGGACAGTGCAGGCGGGTAGGGAGCGGTGTGTCCCCTGGAGTCTGATCGAGGCTCCGGTACCCCAGGACTCGCAGCGGACGGAGGAGGCCTGGGTCAGCTTCCAGGAGCAGAGCGGAGTCCTACAGGTGCGGTCGCTCTCCACCCTGAGAGCGGGTCACCCCCCATGACACTGCAGCCCTTCCCCTCCACCCCCAGATCTGAGGCGGTTGGCGCCGGGAGGCCTCCCCTCGCCCTGAGTCCTCACTCCCGCCCGCTCAGGAGCTGCAGGGGAAGGTGATGGAGGCGGCGGCTGCGCTGGACGCCTGGCGGGGCGGCTCGGAAACGTAAGCGAGTTAGTGCGTGCGGTGGGATGGCTGTCGGGGCCACCAGAGCCGATGGCCCATCTAAGTGCCTGCTTTTGCAGGTGGGATTCGCGGTCTCTCCAGGTGCAGGACTGCGCGGGCTCACTTATGGAGGAGGTGGCCAGGGCGGACTGCGTGAGCGCGGGTCGGGGCGGAAGGGCTGGAGCTGGAATCCAAGTCCTCCGGGGAAACCTGGGCCGCGCCGCTCCCGCCACCCCAGCACGGATGGCTCGCGGGCTCCTTTTCCCGCAGGAGAAGCGGCTGTTCTGCGGCACAGGCCCGGGGCGTCTCGGGTGAGCCGGGCGCCGACCCGTGGGCCGCCAATCCCTTCCCGGACCGTCCTCGGCCGCCCTTTTCTCTCTCCGTGCGCCTGCAGGGTGTGGCTCTGGGCGCGCTGCAGACCCGGTGCTGCCCCCCTCGGCTTCCTGGTGCTGCCGCTGCTCTACTTGAAGCCCCACGCCGTCCACCAGGGACTCTTGCCCTTCGGTTCCGACACCACCTTCAGCCGGCTGCTGCCTGCCTGGAGCGCATCACGCCAGCCGTGGCCGTCTGCACTTTGGTCTCCGACGTGGCTACAGGGGCGCCTGGGAGAGATGGCTGAGGTGTGTCCCTCGCGTGTCCCTCCGGACTGGCCAGGGCACCTCGGCTCAGAGGGTGGCAGTCCTTTCCGCCCGGGTCTCAGGAAGCCTGGCAGGTCTAGGGCCCGCCTTTCCCAGCCTCCTGCCGTTTCATTTTGTTTTTATGTCTTTTTAGTCTCCTGCTGTTGCACCTCAACCAACTCAGACACCGGTCAGCAATTTCTCACTGAACTCATTTGCCCCCGGTCTGAGCCTTGAGGAGTAGGGGTCCCTGGTGGGTGACGTCTTCCCGTGGATTCTGTGATTCCTTTTGCGTGTGGTCGTTCAGATCTTTGCAACCCCATTTCTTCTGGGTGGGTTCCCATCCCTTTGAGTCCCGCACACCTGCCTCCCTGTGGTGCCTTTAGCTGTCTGTGTGCCTGAGCACAGCCAGCAGTGAACACTCAGGATTTCGGGCTCTGTGGGTAATTTTCTTTTTGTTCATGAGAAATGTTCTTCGTGGAAGTGTACCATGAGTTTTGCTTTGCCTACGCCATACAGCTCTGCTTATTCTACAGTAGTGAAACTGTGAACAGGGAAATGCTCAGTGTATCTTTATGCATACACACAGTTTTTGCAATTATGTTTAAACTTTTTTGGAGGGTGGTACTGAGGATTGAATCCTGGATCTTCACATCAAGGTAGGTCCCTAGCTGAAACACGGCTTTGCTAAACTGGTAACTCTATATATACCCTTTCTTTTTGAGAAGAGGGTCTCCCTGAGTTGTCCCAGCTGGCCTTGAATTCCTAGATTTGAATGCTTTTTGCCTCATCCTCTGTAGTCATTGGGACTACAGGCTTGGGCTTCTCATCCAAATTTTTTCTAAGTACTTTTAATGTTGTACTTAGATCACTACAAATAAAGGGACTATTGGCACAGGAGGATGTACAGTATAGCTACCATATTTATTAATGCTTTATTTGATTCTTCTGTTCATTCCTATTTTTATCACTTTTTTTGCTTTTAAATGAACATTTTATATGGCTCCATTTTCCTTCCTTAGTGTATCAATTATACTTTTTTTTTGGCAGTACTGCAGAATAAACTCAGAGGCCTCAGTCATGCTAGGAAAGGGCTCTACCACTGTGCTACATCCTCAGGCTTTTAAAAAATATATATTAAGACATGGTCTCATTGAATTGACCAAATTGATCTTGAACTTGCACTCCTGTATCAGCCTCTGAAGAAGCTGGGATTACAGTCATGTATACCATGTCTGGCTATCCTTTTTTTAAAAACCATTTTTAGAAGGTGGCTATAAACTTTGCAATATATACTTACAACTATTTCAAGTCCACTTTCAAGTAATGCAAGCACCTTATGATAAAATAATCCTATTCTCTTCCATTTATCCCTTGTATTGCAGCTGATGTTTGTTCCTCTTGCACAAAATATAACTGAATATGTTGCTACTATGCTATTCCTATTTTGATTGGACTGTTAGATCAGTAAAAAAAAAAATACTTTTACCTGCACTCACTTACTTCCTAATACTCTTCTTTTCTTTATGTGAATGAATTTCTACCCACAGCAACTTTCCTCTCTCCACAGAACTTCTTTTGGCATTTCTTGAAAGGCAGGTTTACTGACAACATATTCTCTTTTTCCCAGGCACGATGGTGCATGGCTGAATCTCAGTACTCAAGAGACTGAGGTGGGAGGGTTGCTTGAGCTAGGGAATTGGAAACCAGACTGGGCAATAACAAAACCCAAAACCTTCAAATCGTGTCAGTTTTTGTTTGAGAAAGTCTTTGCTCTTTACTTGTTTTTGTTGTTGTTTGAGATAGGGTCTCACTTTGTAGTTCAGGCTACCTTGAATTTGCAACAATCCTCTTGCCTCAGCTCCTGGGTGCACCACAACTGGATGTCCTTTACTTTTGGAAAGTATTATTTCAGAATGTAGAATTCTACATTGGTGGGTTTTCTCCCAGTATTTTAAGCACTTCACTCCATTCTTGTTTTCACAGTTTCTGAAAAGCTGAATGTAAATCTGAACTTTGCTCCTGTACAGGGAAGGTGATTTTCCTCTGGCGTCTGTCAGATTAGTTGGTCTTTAATAGGGTGTGGTGGTACCTGCCTGTAATCCCAGCACTCTGGGAGTCTGAGGCAGGAAGATTAAGTTCAAACCCAGCCTGGGCAACTCAGGGAGACTCTGGTACTCCCCAGGACCATGAACCAATGCAAGAACAAGGAAGACCCACATGTTTTGTCTTTGATATCCTGAACTGTAAATGTGATATGCCCAGCTGTGGACATTTTGGTATTCACCCTGCCTGGTGTTCTTAAGAGAATCTGGGATCTGAGGTTTGTCTGACAGTGTTTGGAAGAAAATCTGTCATCTACATACTGTTTCTGTTCATCCTTTTCTTCCTCCTGGAGCTCCCATTATGAGTGCTATACCATTTTAGTTGACCTGCAGTTTTTGGGTGGTTCAATTTTTGGTTTTGCAGTTGGGAACTGAACCCAGGCTGTCCACATATAAACATGGAGCTTTGCCACTGAGCTATATCCCCAGCTCCTTGGCAGTTTCTATTTAGGGATCTTCAAGCTCAGAAATTCTCTCTTCAGCCATATCTAGTATGCTAATAAGCACATCGAAGACTTTCTTTATAGTTTTTCTCCTACGCACTTTCAGCCTATGCATTGAGCTGCATCCTTAGCCCATTTTTTAAAATTTTAAAGCAGAGTCTCACCAAATTGGCAGAGGAGGCTTCAACTTGCAATCCTCCTGCCTCATCCAGAATGCTGACATTACCAGCTTATGCCACTAGGTTTGGGTCCCATCATTCTTCCTTAGGATTTCTCTTTGCCCACATTGACCATAGGTTCTTGCATGCTGTGTGCTTTATATGTTATGGCCCATAGCATCTTAATCACAGCTGACTGAAAATTCATGTGTGGCAGTGTCATCATTCCTGCCTATCTTCCCTCCTATTTCTGGCTCTGGTTCTGATGCCTGGCTGGACCTGCATTGTTCCATTCTTTTGTCTTTCCTTGTACACATATGTCACATTGCTTTGATTAATAAAGCCCAGTTAAGTCTTGACATATGGGTTTCATTTTTCCTTACTAATGCAATATTTTAGTTTTTACTTTGTGGGAAAACAAAACAAATTTTCATAACAAAATTAAAGGTAACAATATTCAATGTATTAACTATTGTTATTCTATTAGTTAATCAGAGTACAAGATATGGGTATAAAAATTCTCCAATAGATATCGGCACAAATATTTTTTACAAACTAGTACAACAATATGGTATTTTTTTCTTCCTTTCTTCCATTTTCCCCCATCCTGATTCCTTTTTCGTTTTTTTTTTTTCCTTTTTCCTTTTTATCGGTACCGGGGATCAAACTCACGACTGCCTGCTTTCAAGGCAGGCGCTTATGCCGCTGAGCTAAACCCCTAGCCCCTCCTTTTTCCTTTTGAACAGTTTCTTATTTCACAGTATCTAGTATGTGTTTGGACTTTACTCTTTCAGCATTATACATCAGGAAGACAATATGATGTTTACATGTGTGAGTCTGATTTATTTCACTTATGAGTATGGTCTCTAGTTGTATCCACTTACCAATAAAAGTCTCAAGTTTATCCTTCTTTATGGCCAAGTAGTATTCCATTGTATAAAAAGACATTTAAAAAAAATTCCACAGCAGATGGCCATCTTTGTTTCCAAGATTTAGCTACTACAAATTGTGCTACTATACACATGAATGCACATATATTGCTGTTGTATGTTTTTATTTCTTCTGGGAAGATACCCAGAAGGGCAATAGCTGGGTTGAATGGGACCTCTTACCTTTTTTTTTTTTTTTTTTTTTTTTTTTTTTTTTGAGGAACCTCCATATTGATTTCCACAGTGGTTGTACCAGTCTGCATTCCCACCAACAGTAGAGAAGGGTCCCTTTCCCCCTACATTTCCTCCAGCATTTGTTATTGGTTAATGTTTTGATAATAACCATTCTTTCTGGAGATGGAATCTCAATTTTGTTTTAATATGCATCTCTCAAATGATCAACGATGTTGAACATTTTTCATGTATTTATTTTCCATTTGTATTTCTTCATCTGAGAACGGATTGAGCTAAAGACCATTTCTTCCAATTTCCTGGGGGGTTTTATCATTAATGGGTGTTGGACTTTGTCAAATGCTTTTTCTGCATCCACTGAAATAATTAGGTGATTTTTGTCCTTTGCTCTGTTGATATGGTGTATTACATTTATTGTGTATGCTGAACCAACCCTGCGTACCTGGAATGAACCCTATTTGGTCATGATGTATAATCATTTTTTTTTTTTATACCAGGGATTGAACTCAGGATGTCACGCTTGCCAGGCAGGTGCTTATGCCACTGAGCTAAATTCCTGGCCCTCTTGATGACTTTCTGTATTGTTTCCCAGTATTTTGAGGAGTTTGCATCTCTGTTCATTAGGGAGACTGGCCTATAATTCTCTTTTTAAACTGGATCCTTCTCTGGTTTTGGTATCAGGTAAAATACTTGCTTCTAGGAATGAGTTTGGGAGTTTTGCTTCCCTATTTCACTGAAAAGTTTGAGAAAAAAAAATCATCTGCACTGACACAGTCACTGTGCTGTCTCCCCATTAGTGTCCCCGTGGGGGCAGGGAATCTGATTTTGCCCTCTTGCTGTTGCTCACGTGCCCACAGTTGCTCCTGTCTAATAACAGGTGCTCAATAAACATTTGTTGGAATGAAAAAAAAGTTTGAGAAGTAGTGGCATTAGATCTTTAAATTTCTTGTAACTTAGCCCATCAGGACCTGGGCTTTTCTTTGTTGGTAGGGTTTTAAGTACATTTTCAATTATATTGACTGATACTGGATTAGAATTTTTACCTTTTTGATTCAGGTTTGGTAGTTCATATGTATCTAGATCCTTTCATCTGTGTTTTCCACTTCATTAGAATAAAGTTTCTTGAAGTAAGTATTGATGATCTGGATCTATTGTGATTTCACCTTTTTTGTTCCTAATTGCATGAATTTTTTTATGAGATTGGCTAAGGGTTTATCAGTTTTATTTAATCTTTCAAAGAACCAATTTTTTGATTCATTGATTCTTTGTATCGTTTTCTTAGTCTTTATTGCATTAACTTCTGATGTGACTTTTATAGTTTCTTCCCTCATACGAGCTTTGGACTTGTTCTAAAAGTTTGAGATTCAACATCAGGTTGAATTCATTCTGTCTTTCTGCTATGGCTATTCATTGTTATAAATTTCCTTTAGGACTGCTTTTTTTTAATTGATAAATTTGATAATTTGTTTTTGGTACTGAGGATCAAACTCATGACCTTGTGCTTGCCAGGCAGGCACTTACGCCACTAAGCTAAATCCCCAGCCCCCATCCTTTGGCCACAATCCTGTCTTCTAAGTCTGAAAGTCCTGAGGTAATTTTCACCAACTTTGAATTGAATTTTTGATTTCCTGGATATGTTTGAATCTGCTTCATGGATTCCTTGTCCTTTCCATGTTGAGCATTCATGGTTTCCATCATTTTCCTATGATCCTTTTTAAGAATCTATTTTAGACCTGCTGAATAAGTGTTTCATTACAGTCACCACTTTTTTTTACTTGGAAGATTACTTCTGATCTGATTTCTTCTATAGTCTTGTTCACCTGTTTTTGAACTGCTGCTGCTATCATTTCAGAAATCTCAGATGGGTGGCCTCTATTTTACCTCGTTGTCCCTTGCAGTTGTCCTGGATAGGCTGGAGGTCTAGGGTTGGGTTTTGCTTCTGTCTTGTCATTTTCTATTTTGTAATTTTTTTTTTTTTTGAGACAGGGTCTTGCTTATGTAATACAGGCTAGCTTTGAATCCACTACATAACCTAGGCTGGCCTTGAACCCACGGCAGTCCTCCTGTCTCAGCCTCCCAAGTGCTGGGACTGCAGGAATGTGCCACCACATGCAGCAGAAACAGCTATGTTTTGTCTTTTGTGTTCCCGTATAAATTTTATGTCAATTTCTACTACAAAACTTTCAGGACTTTTGATCAGTAATTGTGAAAAACCCACACGTCAATTTGGAAAGAATAGGTACATATACTTTTGTTTCTCTGGTTAGGCCTTCCTGTCAACATCTAGTTTTTTTTTTTTTTTTTTTCACATCTGAATCTTCCATGAGATCACTGATGTTTTCCATGCAGTCATATTCACACACATCATTGATTTTTGTAAAGTGACCTCTAATCTGTAAGCTTGATTGTAAGTTTGTCAGTTACACAAATACCATTTCTCTCAAATTTTTTGAGAGAGATTCTTGCTGTGTTGCCCAAGCTGCCCTCAAACTCCTGGGACCAAGGATCTAGACTGTTCACTCTGACATAACACAACACTGCATATGTGTTTTGTTCCTAGTTCAGGTGCTCTACCACTGAACACCAGTTCCAGCCTCCAAATTCTACCACATCCTCAGCAGTTTATGAATCTGAATGCTGAAGCAGTAATCTTTTAATAGCTCATGGATTTCTAAATGGCATAATGGCATTTTTAGTTCTTCAGGACTACAATTGCTACAATGTCAGACTACATTTTTTTTTTCTTCCAGTCTTGAGGATTGAACTTCATTCAGAGTCACATCCCCAGCCCTCTGAGACAGGGTCTCAAAACTTTCACCATGCTTGGTTCCAACATAGCACTTTGGTGGTTATTTTGTCCACACTGATTAAATCTTAAGAAACACATAATTATTACTTTATTATTTAGACACAAGAAAATACATCATGTACCTATGTAACAAGACAGGTAGGGAATGTGTCCAGTGCAAGGATTCACACCTGTGCATAGAGATGATTGTCTACTCAGTCTCTGGTGACACCAAAGCATCACCACATGTGGTTCTTTTTCCTATAGAACAACTCTGCTGTGTGAAATGGCCAGGCTACTGGTTGGGAGCCTCTTGAGGGCCAGCTGGGGGGCAGAGATGCTCAAAGACTCCATGATTGTAGATATCTTTTGGGAGGGACTACTGGGCTCTAGAAGGACCCCTCTCAGTAGGGGATGTCATTTTGATAGTACTGGATCATGTCGTAGGTCCGGCTCCTGAAAGGTGAGGGATGGAGAGTGAAAGGAAGCTATGTCTGCACCTTTCCACATACCTAGAGCCCCTATGTTCTCCCAGTGCACACATCTGTTTTGCCATAGACAGACCTGCCTCATTCAGCTGCCCAGCCCCTTTCACTGACTTGGCAATGCTGCTGGATGCTTCTATCCCTGGGCACTCCCTGCATTCACCTTGAACTAGCTCCTGTCTCTCCAGCCTCACGGTCCAGCCTGAGCTGGCCCTTCTCTACTTAGGAACAGGTTCTCCACTTCTTTTGAGGCTCATTCAGCAGTTCCACAGCAATATAGCCTGTGGTCCCAGCCTCCTTTGCCCTTATCTTTAGGGGTTCCTTCTGCTGAGAGTTCCCAGATTCTCACAGCCGCTTCCTTCACCCACCTGCTGGAGTTACCTTCCCCTTGTTGTCAAAGCCACCTCTGATTCTCACACCTACACAAGCACAGTCTGGGCTCTGCCTTTAGTACCTGCACCTAGCAGTTCCTCCCTCTCCACATGCCTATCACAGCACTGACTGACAGACTGACCCCACCCTATCTTCTAGTCACTGTTCCTCCCTCCCTGCTCCTGGGTGTAGGAAAGTCATCCTCCCTCCCTGCTCCTGGGTGCTCTGTGCACCCAGACCTCCTTGACCCCAGGTGGGTACAGCTTTCTAACATCAGCTTCTGCCATGTGTTCACCTCAGCATTTCCCCACCCCCTCTAAATCAGCACCTATTGCTCCCCTGAAACTCCCATGAGAGAAGTGGCTTGGGGACTCCAAGACCCCTAATGCCTATCCAGGATTGCTAAGTGCACAAGAGAAGGGCAGGTGAGATGACTTGCCTGTTGCTAAGGAAGCAATTCTGGATGACCTTCATGATGAAATTTGCAGCCTCTCGCTCAGTCATGTTGGGGCTAAATCTGTGCCTGGAGAAAGACCACAAAGGGGTTGTTACTGGCTTTCATTGCTTACCACATGGCAGCCCATCTCAGGTCAGGCAGAATTCTGTGTTTGTGGGAATATATATATCTGAAGGCTGTGTCCTGAAAATGTACCATCCAGAGTCCAAAAGCTGATGGTGTGGAGTGTTATCTCCTGGGCCCAGGTGTCCTATGGCTGGGTGGGAAAGAAGTCAGCAACCACAGCCCTGGGGCTGAGGACTGTTTTGGTATCCTCAAGGAACTAAAGGACAGCTACACATCCCCAGCACAGCTAGAAAAAGCTAGGACATCCCACCAAGATGGCTTGGTACATCCCATCCAGGAACACTATCACTGGAGTGCCAAGGTAGTGACACTCCAAAGGTTCTCATCTTGGGTGAAGCCTTGGCCAATAGCTGTCCTTCAAATTTCCTCTGTATCTGCTGAGGAACCTACTTTAAAAGCTTGATTGTCTGGCCACGGAAGCAGGGCAGGCCCGTATCCAACATGAGAGTGACGAGAGAGACCACTGCGTCCATGTAAGGCCTGTGGAGAGATGGCAAAGGGAAAGGTAATCCCGAGCCCAGTGACCCATGACAGTCCTGCTGGATTTTTCCCTCCATGGCAGCCTGTGTCACATGCAATCTGCTGTTGACTGTTACCACTGCTGTGTGGTCTTGGTCAGGTGACATATCTTGTGAAACCAGCAGAACACAAGTCTCCAGCATGCAGATTTTGGGGGTGGCTCAGGTTATGAAGGGTGAATGTGATGCCCAAAATGAGAGGAGAATGCAGATAGCAGCTAGAGGCGCAGGTTGACAGGAAAATGCTGCTACAGGTGAGCACAGAGAGGCAACTCTGACTCCCTTTTCCTTGCCACCTTTGAGGGGCTGTCCGCCCTGTAGGCCTCCATGCTCACCGCACAGCCAGATAGCCACGGACACACATTTCCATGAACCACTTGAATGGGGTGGCCTCCATCTTGCCTCCCATGATCATCACCATTTCGTCTGTCAGCTTGATGTCAGGTTCCCAGCCCAGGTTGCCACCTGGTGAGCTTTCAAACATGAAGCCAAAGTCTGCAAGACACCAAGGGCTCCCCTGTAACTAGGGCAGATGGGAGGGCAGACAGAGATAAGAGCAGTCTCTAATCAAAGAATGGAAAAGGATTCAAGACACTAGGAATTCCCACAAGCAGGCCACAGGCCGTGCTTTCTTGGGGACAGTGTGGGAGCGGCAGGTAGAGGAAGGAGAGCTGGAAGTGGAGCCGGGTACCAAGCTGGAGCAGAGAGGCAGTGCTGAGCCTGGACAACCCTAGCTCCACTGGCTCTAGCTTCTGACCCAGAGCTCTGCAGGCACACTCACCCCCAGCTTCCTGGCCCCAGGACAGCCGGCTGGCTGAACCTTAGAGCTGGACATGAATGCTCAACCTGACCCTCCCGCCTGGGTGACCCAAGCATGCCCATTCTACTCGGGGGAACCTGGACAGTGAAGGGAGAGGAAGGTGGTACTGTGGCCTGGCTGACCGATGTGGATGATGTGGCCCTTCTTGTCCAGCATGATGTTGCCGTTGTGTCTGTCCTTGATCTGCAGCAGGAACAGCAAGAGGCTGTAGGCGGCCATGCTTCGGATAAAATTGTAGCGTGCCTGTGTATAGAGAACCATGGGCTCCCAATAGCTCTGGCTGGGGGAGATCTCTCTGTGGCTCTGCCCTCCAGCTTGTAGGTGCTCTACCCAGCTGTGCCCACT